TTCACCAATTTGAAACTTGAAACAAACCTGTTACCAACAGGTGACTTCAATTTTGTTAAATGCATTTCCAGATTACTTTACACAGAGGATCAACATTTCATTAACAGTTGAAACTACAACTTTAAAAAGTGTGCTTACCCAAGTTTGGATATTAGCCTCTTTACCTTGAGCAGGATGTTCTGAACCTGGGTGATGCTTCCAGTCAAATATAGCCGTAGGGCCCAAGGCCATTGCCAGGGGGGGCCCAGGTTGTAGCTGCTGCCCCTCCCCCCTCCTTCCTTTCCCAGGTTAGGAAGGATGAAATCAAACGTGAGGGGTAAAGGGTGAAACTCTCTTCTCCTATGAGAGGGGTTCACACATACCCTCTTGACTCAAGGGAAGGGAGTGGGAGAAAGGAGTGACCAGGGTTGTAAGGAGGAGTTTCAAAACTCCTCAATGACAAAACCTCCAGAATCTGCCAAGATATTTTTAGCTGTTCTAACTTTTCCCTGTAACCTCCATTAAGGAGGATTCAGAGGTGTAGAGGGAAGGGAATAAGTAAGCCTCAGGGAACCAAAAAGCAACTGCTGTTTCCCCCAATTCCCTATCACGGAGAGAATTGACAGAATTGGGCATACACTTCCAGATAGGGCATGCATCCTTGTTTTCTATGCTGCAGAAGGTGTACCCAGGTCCATGGCCTCAAATTCACCCAGTGGACTGACAGCCTAAGAATGTTAGGATGAGTATGAGATGCCCTCGTAACTGTCTGCCTGAAAAACACCTCTAAGCCTTGGTGCTTGGAGAGAGACCCCAACTTCAGAGCAAGAAAGGAGGGGTGGGGGAGGCTTACATACCTTCCAGTCTTGGCTGGAGAAGAACTTGGGGTTAGACAGTTTCCCTGTATGGGCCATCAAAATGTTGTGGTTTAGGGCTGCTGGGACCTCAAAATCACAACATAAGGGTCCTGCCTGAAAGAATTCGAACCAAGTCTTCTTTCAGCCAAAGACAAGGTTTATTAGAACATCAGTCATATTGGGCAGACTCTTAAGGAGTCTGAACATTAGTAAGCTATTGATTAGTAAGAATCTGAGCAGTGGCTAGATTTTAAGAATCTAAGCCCAAGATTTGTTTTCTTAAGAATATAATTGGCCCCACTCCAATTCCATTTTTATTTTTTGTTATATTTTTGGAAGGTAAAGCAGCTAACAATTATAGCTATTGATTTGTATGTGTTGAGACAGCATATATGTGCTATTTATGCATTTTACTCAGTAAAGTAAGAATGTTCCTGAGCTATTTTAGTGACTCAGAAGTTGTGTGCATAGGTGCTCATGTTACCTGCCCCTATTTCTCTGTTATATTTACTCTGTAACATTATGTGAACAGGAGAGTTTGGTAATAAATGCAAAGGACATGAAATTTAACCTGTATTAAGGATGGGACTACTCTTCAGTATGAATGGGAAGGTAATAACTAACAACAGAGAAAACTAAATTGCTCAACACTTAATTTGCTTCTTTTTAACTTAAAAAATAGTTTATTTTATCTTTCAATTAACAAATATTTTCCACAATTTATTTATTTATTTTTAACATTCATTTAAAACATTTTTGAATTTCAAATTCTCTCCCTCCTGCCTACCTCTCCTCCACCCATGGAGAAGGCAAGAATTATATATATGTTTCATTCATATATATACACATATATATAAAACATTAATTATACATGTGAAATAATACAAAACATTTCCTTATTATCCATGTTGGGAAAAAATACAGAAAGAAAAATAAAGTAAGTGGAAATATTATGCTTGAAACTGCACTCAGAGTTCCTCAGTTCTCTCTCAGAAGGTCGATAACATTTTTCATCATGAGAGCTTTGGAATTGTTTTGATCAGAGTAGTTAAGTCTTTTGCAGTTGATTATCATTACAATATTGCTGTAACTGTCTACAATGTTTTCCTGGCTCTTCTTACTTCATTTTGTATCAGTTCATGTATGTCTTCCTAGGTTTTTCTGAAACCATCCTGCTCATCATTGCTTATAACACAATAGTGTTCTATCATAATCATATACCACAACTTGTTCAGCCATTCCTCAAGTGATGATCATACCCAAGATTTCCAATACTTTGCCACATGCAAAAAGAGCTTCTAGACCTACATGTAGGTCCTTTTCTCTTTTCTTTGATCACTTTGGGATTCAAACCTAGTAGTGGTATTACTGGGTCAAAGGTTATTTGGGATACAGACCTAGTAGTGGTATTGCTAAATCAAAGGGTAGATATAGTTTTATAGCCCTTTGATATAGTTCCAAACTGTTTTCCAGAATAGTTGGACCAGTTTGCAACTCCACCAGCAGTGTATTAGTGTTCCTATTTTTCATATCCTGTTCAGATTTTGTCATTTTACTTTTCTGTCATGTTAGTCAATCTGATAGATGTGTGGTGGCACTTAAGAGTAGTTTTATTTTCCATTTGTCTAATCAATAGTGATTTAGAGCATTTTTTCCCACTATTGATAGGTTTGATTTTTTCTGGTAACTGCATGTTCATATCCTTTGACCATTTATCAATTGCAGAATAGCTTTTGTTTCTATAAATTTGGCTCAGTTCCCTATATATTTGAGAAATAAGGCCTTTATAAAAAATACTTGCTATAAAAATTGTTTTCCCTGTTTCCTACTTCAGTTTTTACTTAACTGGTTATGTTTGTGCAAAAACTTTTAAATTTCATGTAATCAAAATTATTCACTTTTCTTCCCATGTTCCTTTCTATCTCTTGTTTGGTCACAGATCTGACAGGTAAAATTTTCCATATTCTAATCTGCTTATGATATGGCCCCTTATGTCTAAATCATGTACTCATTTTGAGCTTATCTTGTTGTATGGTATGGGATGTTAGTCTATGCCTTTGTTGTTTTTGTTCAGTTGTGTCCAACTCTTTGTGACTCCATTTGGGGTTTTCTAGGGAAAGATACTAGAGTTGTTTGCCATTTCCTTCTCCGTCTAATGGGAAATCATAGGAATTATGAGTGGAACCATAGGGAAGTCAATTGCCATGATTTGGGACAGTGCTATATAAATTGTAGTTACAGTAATAATAATGATGATGATGTTTTCATCTTCATCATCATCATTATCATCATTCAAGTAGCAATGGTAGCTGTAATTGAATTACTGTTCCCAGATAAAAAGGTAGAAATTAGGGTGTAAGGGAGGTGTTAATATCAATGCTGATTTCCTAGTGGATGACTGTAAGGGATGTGAAACATAATCTGGGGCCAACTACAGTTGTGGATTAGGTGAGTTTTCACTCACTTACTGATCGGAGTGGCTCAACCCCAGGCTGGAATACCTGAACTGAGTGGACTAGCTTTGCCAAGTGTATGTGGCAGGAAAGGGAGATTGATCTTCAGCTATCATGTCTGGTTCTAAAAAGTCTGGGCACTGTGGGACATTGAACTATTCTTGGTAGGGAGAAGCAGGGCAGATATTAGGTTACTTTCATTTCTGCTAAGCAGTTATTAAGGCCAGGAAATGATGTTTTCATCTGGGATTTTTTCCCTGTTAACTAATACATTTGTTTAACAAATTATATTCTACTAAGGAAAAAATATTTTTCTGAATTCATTATCCCTGTCATCTTGACTTGAAAGTATTTTGGCTAATATGGTATGTACCTACTTAACTTGTAGATCACTTTTTCTACCCACTATCCAAAACTCTGTAAAACACTTCAAAAGATATATAGGACTGTGCATACTGTACAAAATGAAGGGCAGTTTTGACTCATAATTTTATTTTCCAGCAGCTGCTCCACTTGGTTTCAACTCCATCAGTATCATCATCTTGTGCTCGCCAGGATAAGCTCATTGCCAGATAATTTCATCACCAGGAAATTCATCATCATGGAGATTGCTTCAACTTTGTTACTCACACCTCATCAATTCTCTCACTGTCTCTGTCTCTCTGTCTCTCTCTCTCTCTGTTTCTTTAATTGTAGGCCTGGAGGGAGGAGCAAAAAACTGCTCTGTCTTCAAAATATTAAAGTCCCTAAAAGGCTCAAAATCTGAGCCATCTCTTCATTTGCCAGCAGTTCCTTTGCTTAGTTTCAGCTCAACAATTATCTTCATCATGCCCCCTTAATGAATACCCTCTGGCACCTCCCTCTCTTTCAGTTTCCTTTTGTGTATTGTCTTCCCCATTAGATTGCAAGCCCCTTGAAGGCAGGGACTATCTTTTTCTTATTTGTAAACCGCCCCCCTCATGTAGCAGGATACCTTACACATAATAAGTGCTTCATAAATGTTCATCTTATTGACTTATAAAAAAAAAAAGGCAATCCCAATAACTTGAAGCAAAGTTTTGAACATAGAACTCCAAATGACAATAGCAAACAAGACTTTTCTAAATCAGTTTTGGCAGTTCCTATCCTATGAGCATTATTTTTTCAAACTCTGTAGGTGCTAACTTACTATTTAAAACTAGGATTTTAGAAGATTGTTAATGTGGGGCAACTAGGTGGCGCAGTGGGGCAACTAGGTGGCGCTCTGACCCTGAAGTCAGGGGGACTTGAGTTCAAATCCAGCCTCAGACCAAACATTTGACACTTACTAGCTGTGTGACCCTGTGCAAGTCACTTAACCCCAATTGCCAAAAAAAAAGATTGTTAATGCCAACCATTTTATGCAATAAAAGTATTATTAAAAAGTATCCCCTATAATTATATAAAATCAGCAATATAGATAAATGTAGCTCATTTTATATGCATAAGAACTATGTAAAAAGAAGGAAACTGACTTTCTTCTAATTTTTGTGCCTTCTTGATGTCATGTAAGAATTAGATCAAATGAGATAATTAATACATATGACAGTATTATGTAAAGGGCAAAGTGTTATTGACAGATGAGGTATATTATATCTAAGTAAATAACTTTTTGCATAAATGACCAACTATAAATGTTATCATAATTATAGTTATTATTTAAAGTTCTACAAAACTTTAAATCTCTGATTTCATGAATGGTATAGGCATCCATATGGAACAGTGCTTTTTGAAGTGGGGTGAAGATGAATGTGTTCATCTTGTGCCTGGGAAGTTCCACATGGATGCCTCCTGCTGTGCAGTTGGTGCAGCATGGGTCACCGAATGTGAGGAGTGCCCCAAATCTGGCATTAAAGAATATACAACATTATGCCTGAGGGGACCTGGCTTTGCTAACAGAAGGGAGTTTCTTACTGGCTGGCCATTTTATAAAAGTAAATTGCTATTATTTAATAAGGCCATTGATTTTAATAAGGTCATTTATTTGAGGGCAATTTTTATGAATATAGTAGACTTATTTTAAAATGTGTTCGAGAAAAATCTAGACATATTTTGAAATACATTGTTTACTAAATTATAAAATGTTATTTTTCATTTATTGATTAACCACTGTTGGTTGCCTAGGTCATGGTATAATGAAATAATAAAAATAGTAGTTTTTTAAAGTTTTATAAGTAAAAACATAGTAGAAAATGCTATTCCTAGCTATCTGTATTTTCTTTTACTATACTAAGTTTTTAATATATGGTGTCAATTTTGCATCAGCATGGAATTCTGCCACTGAAGAGCTTAAGTAATCATGAATACATTAAGAAAAAAAAAAGTTGACTCAAAAGAGTCTGCAACATTTAGTTTGGAATTCAGAATGGCCAGGTGGTATTTTCATAAAGAAATCTATGTGACCACTGAAAAAACTTGTTATCCCTGTCTCTTCGATGGTACAAAAAAGTGTTTTACTTTTTTTCCATTCATAATTCATGTGCGATCATTTTTTCATCTAAAATAATAAAAGGTTTACTTATAATTAGATATTTGTTCTGGTCTTATTTTTACCTTTATCTATAAATGAATGCAAACATTTCCTGAAATGTGCACATATGGAAAATGAAAAATACCATTGGAAGTTTTAAGGGTCAGTGTAACAGTGGTTTTGCTTTAGATATAGAAGAAAGAAATTGTACAGGTAAATGTTCTCTATTCTATTTTTCGTCTAATAAAATAAAACTTATTTTTTCTCAGACTATGAATTTAACATATTTTCCCCTAAGTTCCAGCTTCTCAATGCAAAATGTACTTTTAAAAAATATTCTGTATGTTGTTGTTCAATCATGTCCGACTTGTCGTGACCCCATTTGGGTTTTTTTTTTTAGCAAAGATACTGGAGTGGTTTTTCATTTTCTTCTCCAGCTCATTTAACAGATGAGGAAATTGAGGCTGACAAGGTTAAGTGACTTGCCCAGGGTCACACAGCTATTAAAAGTCTGAGATCAAATTTGAACTCAAGTCATCCTGACTCCAGGCCCAACCTCCCATCCATTTCATTACCTAGATGCCCTCTCTTTGTATTTAATTGCTAAATTAATGTAGGGAGATAAGAGGTTGAAAAAATACAAGTTCTAAACTGCCTTGTTATGATCTCATGTTTGTTTATAAATGTGATCTATTAAAACAGATTTTCAAGTTTTTGAGCATTAATCATGTAATTTTGAAATCAAATTCTGATAAATTTGCTAATAAAAACTTGTAAAGATCAATGTAATAATGCTTAAACATTATACTTAGCACATATTCCATTAGATATTTATTGAAAACTTGCAGAAAATTTCTCCAAAGATTTGAAAATTTCATTTTAAAATTTATGATTAATCTAAATTTATAGTTTATAAAATCCACTCCTAAAAATTTAAAGTCTCCCACTTTTACTTAAAAAATTTATTTTTATTCTGAACTTAAACATCAAAACTCCATATAGATAGAACAAAAAAGAGGATTGTTTTGAACTTGTGAAGTTTTTTTAATACCACTTAATTTTTAAATATGATGTAATAATTACACATATTGCTTTCAAAACTATCCTATCTGTGCTTCCTTCTGATATATTCATTAAAAGTATTTTGATAGCCTTTTTTTGTTATCACTATTGCTAATCCCCTTCCTCTCAAATTCCCACCTAATTAAAAACTGAAACAGTTACAGCAATACTTTTTTTTAACAAATAAGCATAATCAAGCAAAACAAATCCACAAAGTCACCAAGTCTAAAAATGTATTCTTTTTTTGCACCTTGAATCTGTCACCTTTCTGTTAGAAAGTGTAATATAATCCATCTCTAGAGACGTGATTGGTCATTGTATTAATCCTTTTTTAAATCTTTGCAATATTGTTCTTGTATAAATTGTTATCCTAGTTTTACTCAATTTACTCATTAGTTCATACTGGCTGGGATTCTCTGAAATTATCTTTTTTCATTATTTCCTATGGTGTAATAATCCTTTATTTTAACATATCATTAGTTGTTCAGCTGTTCCCCAAATGATGAACACTCCCTTGCTTCTTTTCTTTTTTCCTTTTAATTTCCTTTTCAGGATCAGGAATTTAGTTTTGCACGTGTCTATTCCTAACCTAATATTAACTCACATTTAACAACACTCTCCACCGCTTCCCAACCCCTCTGCCATCTCTACTTGTTTCAGACTGTTTGTGTGTATGTACATGTCTGTTCAACACTCCTTTGTCCATCACAAACAAGAATGTGGTTTATCTGGTGCTTGTTCCCCTCACCCCTTCCTTCATACTCTTTTTCTCATATACCTCAATTATGAGAAATGTCAAGGGCTACCCCTTTTTTCTTTCTTTCTGCACTAATGTATTCCTTTTTACTGTCCCTTCTCTTTACCTTCTTCAAAACTTCAGAACAGAACTAATCTACCCCTCCGTCCTCTACCCGTCCTTAACTCCTTTAATACTCTTTGAAGACACTGAAGTTGTAAAGGAACATTTGTTTATTCTTCCCCTTAGAATGTTAGTAATACATCATTATACAATCCCATCCAATTGCTTAAATAAGTTTACCTTTTTTGATTTCTCTGGACTCTTGTGTTTGCATTTCAGAGTTCCTACTTAGCTCTGGTCCTTTCATCAGAAGTGATTGAGAGGCAAATATGACAGCATATGCTTACAATTCTTGCTACCAGAAAGGCTGAGAATGGCAGATCTCTTGACCCTGAAAGTTCTGAGCTGAAAAGCATTAGCACTAAAGTGATCAGGTGTCTTCATTAACTTGGCATCAATATGTTGAGCTTCCAGGAGAAGGGAGAGAGAAAGGAAGCAAGGAACCTCATTTCTGTCTCCTGGCTTCTCTATCTTCCTTCAAGTCCCAACTAAAATCTCATCTACTGGAATCCTTTCCTATCCCTCATAATTTTAGTGTCTCCCTTCTTTTAATTATTTCTTATTTATCCTGTGTATAGCTTGTTTACACATACTTGTGTGTTGTTTACCCCATTAGAATGTGAGAACCTTGGGGACAGGGACTGTCCTTTTCCCCTTTTTGTAACCCCAGTGCTTAGCATAGTGCCTGGCACATAGTAGGCACTTAAGAAATGTTTATTGACTTGAAGGTTAAACATTAGTTGTTCTATTGAGCATTTAAAGTCCTTCATAACCTGACCCCCATCTACTTTTCCAACTGTATTATACATTACTCCACTTCCCTCACACCCTCCTCCTCCTCCTTCTTCTTCTTCTTCCTCCTCTTCCTCTTTTTCTTCTTCCTCTTCTTCCCCTCTTCCTTTTGTTTCTCCCTCTTCCTCTTCTTTTTTAATATTTTATTTTCCTCAATTACACATAAATACAATTTTTAACATTCATTTTTTAAAATTTTGAGTTGCAAATTCTCTCTTCTTCTCTCCCCTCCACCTCATTGAGAAGACAAGCAGTTTGAAATAGATTACATGTGAAGTCATGCAAAACGTATTTCCATATTAGTCATGTGATAAAGGAAAATATAAGTATGCTTCCATCTGCATTTAGACTCCATCCATTCTTTCTCTGGAGGCAGATAGCATTTTTCATAATGAGTCCTTTGGGATTGCCTAGGATTATTGTACTGATGAGAATAGCTAAGTCATTCACAGTTCTTCATCATACAATATTGCTGTTACTGTGTACAAGTTCTCTTGGTTCTGCTCACTTCACTTTGTATCAGTTCATGTAAGTCTTTCTAGGTTTTTCTGAAATCATCCTGCTTGTCATTTCTTACAACACAGTAGATTCCATTACAGTCATATACCACAATTTGTTCAGATGTTCTCCAATTGGTAGGCATCCCCATAATTTCCAATTCTTAGCCACCACAAAAACTGCAGCTATAAATATTTTTTGTACATCCATTTTGGAAAATAGCTTCTTGTTGTTGTTTAGTCACGTCCTACTCTTAATGATTCCATTTCGGGTTTTCTTGGCAAAGATACTGGAGTGGTTTGCCATTTCCTTTTCCAGTTCATTTTACAGATGAGGAAACTGAGGCAAACAGGGTTAAGTGACTTGCCCAGCATCACACAACTAGTATGTGTCTGAGGCTGGATTTGAATTTAGTTCTTCCTGACTCTAGGCCCAGCACTCTGTCCCCTGAGCCACCCACCTAGTGGTCTGGAAAATAATTTGCCTCTATGAAAATAAAATGAAAAAAAATTTTTTTCCATACATTTTGACTCAGAGATTTCATTATAAGGCATATATCCCCAAGGAAAAAAGAAGGGAAGGAAATGAGCATTTATATAGCACCTAGTATACACCACAGGGTATTTTGGGGTATTCAAGGAAGACCAGCACCTCTGGTGTGAGGACTTGCCAAGCCCTTTTCAGAGCTGCTCATCCACCTGTAGTGTCTACCTGGCTCTCAGCTCTCACATGTGGCTCTAAGAAGCTGTATGTAGCATGTGCAGCGGCCATACTCCACACTCTAGTAAACCATCTCAGCAGACATGCTAAACCAGATTGAGGGTAACCCACAGGCCTCAAACCTATTCGGTAAATTGGGGGGGGGTGTCTACCCCAAGTATATGAAGACTTCCCCCAGTGGGATGGGCAGATGAAAACAATTTGTTCCACTGGCCATGAAGGCAGCTAAAGCAGGCACTGTGGAGGTTTATGGCTTGGTCAGACATTACCACCTACTCAATAAACTCCATTGGATCACCTTTAGGATCAAATATAAATCCCCTTTTAGGGTTTTAAGCCATCTATAACCTCCTAAACTCTGCCCTTGACTGTTCAGTCTTCTTCCACCTTATATCCACCCCACCTCCCATCCCCAAGAACACCTTGATCCCGTGACACTAGCTTCCTTGATGTTCCTCACACAAAGCACTCCCATCTCTTGAATTTGGGCATTCTCACTGGTTGACCTCCGTGCATGGAACACCTTCCCTCTGCCTCTCCTCCTGACTTTCCTGGATTCCTTCAAGTCTCAGCTAAAATCCTACCTTTCATAGGAAGCCTTTCCTTATCTCCCTTAATTCTAATGCCTTCTATTAGTTATTTCGAATTTATCCTATATATAGCTTGTTTGTACATTTGCATGCATTCTTCTCCCTTAGATTGTGAACTCTTTGAGGGCAAGGACTGATTTTTACCTTTCTTTGTATCCCCAATGCTTGGCACAGCTCCTGACTCATGGATGGTGTTTAAAAATGTTTACTGACTGACTTTGGCCACTTTGTGGCCAAAATAAATGTCTCATTCTGTATTTTGAGCCTTTCTGACACAAGGTGGGTAGTATGCTTTATCATGTGTCCTCTAGAATTGTTGATCAATGTTCTTAAGTCTTTCAAAATCGTTTTCCATTATACCTTTTTTGTTATTGTATAAATTGTTCTTTTTGTTTCTGGTCATTTCAACTCTGTATCAGTTCATATAACTTTTTCATCATTTCTTATAGCACAATCATATTCTATTACATTCATATACTATAATTTGTTCAGCTATTCCCCAGTTGATGGGCACCCTCTTTATTTTTCAGTTCTTTGCTATGACAAAATATAACTAGCTGCACAATTTTCATACATATGAGTAATTTTCCTTTTTATCTGATTGGTTTGGGGTACAAACCTATATTAGCTGATAAAAGGGTATACAACATTTAGTGACTTTTTGAATATAGTTTGCTTTCCACAACTGCTGGACCAATTCACAACCCCACCAACAGTGCACTGGTGTGCCTGTGTTCCAACAGCCTCTCCAACATTGATCTTTTTTTTTTTTGTTATTGTTAATTTTGCCAATCTGATGGGTGTGAAATAGAACCTCAGATTTATTTTTCTCTAATTATTAATTATTTGAAGAATTTTTTTCATATGGTTGTTGACAAATTGAATTTCTTCCTTTGAAAATTTTCTGTTCATAACCTTCAAATATTTATCCATCTTCTAAATTTAAATTTTTTTATATTTTATAGGATATAAGACCTTTATGAAAAAGTTTTGCTGCAAAGGTTGTTTTCCCAGTTAACTGATTTCCCTTCTAATTTTAACTGACAATGGTTTATTTATATAGTTTAAGTAATGTTTGTCATTGAAGAAATAAATGGCTAAAAAGGAAAAATGAAGGTTTCCTAGCAAGGCTGCTCAGAAGTCATTTTAAATAGTGAATACATATTACTTATATAAGATTTTTTAAAAGGCCCAATGATTAAATCCTTTGAGAAGTATTTTTAAAACTGAAACATAAAATACTGTAGCAGCTGAATTCAGAATCCATTTATAATAGTTTTTTCCCCGCTTTCAGAAATAAAGGCCATATGTTGAATTTTGTTTAACCAAAATTTTATCAGGTCAAAAACATAAATTAATTTTCCTTATGTAAAGTTCTTTCTCTGCTCTGTAGATGGAGTAGCTACAGCTTAGTTGATCTCATTCAATTTCAAGTATGCTAACTCATATTTCTAAAGAATTCAGTCTATCATGTTATAAATTATAAGTAACAAGAAAAAAAATACAGAAAGTTCATTGTCATTATTTTTGAAGATAAGACTGCTACCATTTTGTATTGGTATGACTAAATAGATAAATGAGTCTTCCCCACCTTTGACTCTATCTCTTTGACTATGAGTTACATTATACCCCTGCTCATAGGATCCTTATCTTCAGCTGCTCCCAATCAAGGCGGCATTTTAGCTGTTATTGTTGCAGCCAACACAATGAATTTGCCAAAAAGCTTGATGAAGTGTCTCAAAATAACATCTGACTTTGGTTGTCATCACCTTAGCTAAGCTTGTCATTCCACTTAATGTTTTGTCATTTTCAATCTAGGAAGACATAAAGTCTATTTAAAAAAAATACAAAACATTACCCTTTTGGTTCCAGAATTCTGACCAAAGAAAAGTGCTTCTGCCAGTTGACAATGACAGTTTTGGCAGTTGGCAAGAGGAATGAACCCGAGGCTCAGCTCCCCTGATCCCCTCTGCTTCTGGTCATCTGAACAAATTTTTGTCCTATATGACACAGACTTTCCTGACATTTCAAATGAGCTGTACCTTCCCCTGAAAAGTGAAATCTCACCATTTAACTCTTGTTCACTTCAGTCTATTTAATTCTTTGAAACCAGACATTGATGAATGCAAGAGTTCTCCTGACCTTTGTGGAAGTGGTACTTGTGTCAACACTCCAGGCAGTTTTCAGTGTGAATGTTTTGAAGGTTATGAAAGCAGGTTCATGATGATGAAGAACTGTATTGGTAAGTATAGTTGGCTTGCTCTCAAAACTCAAAGCAAAAGTGACATAGACTCATAATCTTGACCCATGCCTATCTCAGAGAATGCTTGCCACATAGCTGTGGACCAAGATGTAACCATAAATTCATGAAACAAAAAAATATGTTCCTTCATTGCTCAGATCACTGAAAACTCTTGCCATCTCAATGGAAGTAAAAAAATGATATTGGATTGTATTTATTCATGGAAATCTAAAATCAACAAATTAGGTTCACACAGTTTTGTATTAAAATTTATAATGTTTTAGAGGAATTTGCCCCAAAGTTTATGACACATTCATTTTGGATTATTACAACTCTTAATTGTATGGAATTTTAACCCACTTTTCAGGGCATAGTGAATTATACATTTTTGTATTGATGTTTAATCTGACCTCTTCAGTGGATATTCATTGGGTAACAGTTATGTGTTCCTAAAATTTTACATTCGTTTAGTAAACCTGAAAATTAACATTAAAAGAGAACAAAATCTATTCTTCTAATAATTAGTGATGAGTATTGCTAGTTTATAATACTTCTTTTTTTCTTCACCACTACTTTCTCCCCTCAAGTTCCTAAACTTATTAATAACGATAATTTTGAGTTATGCTAGAACTTTTACTATTTACTATATTCTTCCAGTACTATGTTAGAAGGATAGAGGGCCTATCACAACTGAAAACTTATACATCTCCTCATTTATTTGTCAAGTTCAGTCATTTTCAGATAATTATTTTTCCCATTCCTTACTATTTTTTTTCTAAAAATCACTTCATAGATGACATATTTACCTTTCAGACATTACTGAACGTGAACATAACTCTCTACTTTGTAGAGATGGAAACTGTGTGAACACTGAAGGCAGCTTTGAATGTGACTACATACTTGGACATGAAATACCATCACATGAGGATTGTGTGGGTGAGTTTATCCCATACAATTAAATAAATAATAACAAGAAAATGAGATTTCCCATAATCCATTTGACATTATTTGTTGCTCCAACTTCTCTATCATTAAATTAGGATTAAGACACAGGAAATCTTGTTTTGGCCCAGTTTTAGGAAGAAAGACTGAGGAAAGAAAGTCATTTGTTATCTTAGGCAAGTCATTTAACCACTCTGGACATCAATTTCCTCATATGCTGATAAGAAGTTGAAACAGATGCCTCTTAGGTCCCTTTAATTCTAAAGCTGGATTTTCTATTTATAAAAGAACCTTCATAATTTAAATTTTAGTAATCTAGCCCTATACATCCATATTCAGATTGCTTTTTACAATTTATTTTATTTGATCTCATTTATAGTACTAGGTAGTAGAACAATTGAATTTAAGTTATTATGGCTTTATTAGAAAAAAAATCACCTATCTACTGTATACAAACTCAAAAGTTCTAGATACTAGAAGGAGAAAAGATACTATTTTCAAGAATCTATTTGCTCACACCCCTGTCGTTTTGCACAAATTATGTTTTATATACCCGCATTCACATACACGTAAAAATGATCCCTTGCCGTCCTTGCTCTGACTCCATACATATCAAATGAGATATTTGTGAAGTGCTTAGCATAGTACCTGGCACATAATAGGCATTTAATAAATTCTTATTATCTTCCTTTCCATGTGTCATATGCCAATTTTTACATTTACTGGTCTTTATTATTGTAGTTAAGGACAACATTTCTGTTGATGTGCATCTTCTTTGGTTTCTGCTACTCAGTTTCTTTTTTTTTGCTGACCCTTACTTGATATAAGAAATAGAAACACACACCACACACGCACACACACATCTGTGTAATACGTAGGGCATTGATGTGTCCCAATAACAGTTCACATTATTGCATGCCTTAACTCTGTAGAAGTTCAGTGCATCACTTGATTATCCAGCAAGGGGGTAAAATATCTAAATCGCTCACTAAGTGGCCTTCTTGAGTCACCAACTGCTAAAAAAGGCTGCATCATCTCAATGGGCCACCAGAGGGCACTAAGCCTACAAACATCCCTCCACTGTTGAGCCGAACACCTTAATGTGATTATACTGCCTGGGTTCATTATTTATCTTGTGATGTGAAATATTGCTCAGGATATTTTTTTAAAACAGGAAATAATAAGGTTTCACCCATATCAAAAGCAAATTGTTAAGAATTTGTGAATGGAGCTCCTCTGCCTCCTGACATTCCAAACTCCTCCCACTTAATCGGTCAGTGTTAAAAGGTTAAGGAAAGGGATATGTGTGCCCAGATCTGGAACTCTTGAGTCCCAGATTCCTTTAAAGTAAATCAGGGGAAACACAGGAAGAGTAACTGTCCTCCCTTTTGCTCTCCTGGATCCAGTTAGTTGGTTGACTCTATGAACTCAAAATTCATGCCAGTCAACTGTAACATTAATCTCAGGCATTCTCAGTCACCAGTAAATTAAATCTTGAATAGGTACAACTTATGGATGCTCAGAATTTTATTGTGTCTCCAAATCCTATAGTCAGCCAACATGATGAGCAGAAAGATTTTTCAAGAACAAAAGGACACAAAAAGAAGCATTGAATACTATATGCCTATATACAGGCATGCTACTTTCCTGTCTTTTCCTGTCTTTTTTTTTTTTTTTTTGTCCACTACAAATGCACTTCCCCTAACATCAGTGAGGGGGGAAGGGCATGAATCAGAAACACCCTTCCAGACCTCTCTATCTTCAACATAACATAACCATCGACTCTAAACTACATAATAACTCAGAACATCTAAGAGTTTAGACACTGGCTGTACTTTTATCAAAAGCAGACGTGAGCATAGATAAAGAATTATCATCCTTGCTATTGCAACAACCCTCTTTTTTTTGACAAATGACTTCATGAACTATGGAGTTCTTATACAGTTCTTAATTATTCTTTAAGTGAATTATTATAAAATATTCAACTACTATATAAAAGTATAACCTTTTTTTTTCTTTTGCAGATATAAATGACTGTTCTCTGAGTGATAATCTATGTAGAAATGGAAAACGTGTGAACATGATTGGACCGCAGTGTTCTTGTAATCCTGGATATCAAGCAACTCCAGACAGGCAAAGCTATATGGGTAAGAAGTGAGCACATCTGTGTCCTTAAATTCTTATTTCTCAAGTCAGTAAAAGGAGCTTTTGCCACTAAAGAGAACAAGTCATTTCATTAAAAATAAATGAAGGCCATGGAAAACAAGTATACTTCTAAGTCACTGAGTTCTCAAGATATTTCATAGATATGCTTGATTAGTGTTGCATGGTTGTCCTTTTAAATAAGAAACAATTGGAATCCTTTTACTATTTTTTAGTCCTTTTTTTGTAAACATCTTATTTCTTCATTAATTATTTTTTGTTCAATTACTAAAATATTTTGATGCAGTTTACTTTTACTTTGAGTTTACAAACTAAAAATAAAGATTTAATATAGTTAGTAGCTGCACACGGCAGCTTGATTCCTTTCTTTGCTCTGAAGTCATAGATCTAAACTTCCAAGAGTGTATTTTTTTATTTCATTGATCTTTCCAGTTATGTTCCTGATTTCTTTAATCTTAGGGCAATGAGGGAAATGTTGAAAAGAATATTTCCAAAAGTAGCTTATAGTTTATAAAGGAAAATATCAACTTAGAATAACTAAAGAAAAAAATCATCATGAGAAATGGGTAAACATTCAACATGATCTGTATAACTTTTTTTCTTTTTGGTGAGGCAATCAAGGTTAAGTGACTTGCCCAGGGTCACACAGCTATTAAGTGTCAAGTGTCTGATGCCGGATTTGAACCCAGGTCATCCTGACTTCAAGGCTGGAGCTTTATCCACTGTGCCGCCTAGCTGCCCCTGTATAATTATTTTTTAAAAGGCAGACTTTTTCAAAGGAAGAAGAGTTGACAAATAATACTGTTAAAATGTTCTTTTACCAGATATTGATGAGTATAGGATAATGAATGGAAGCTGTGGTAGCCAGTGTACTAATTCAGAAGGCAGCTATGAATGTCTTTGCAGTGAAGTTTATACCCTGATGCCAGATATGAGAACCTGTGCAGGTAAGGAAACAAAAACACAAGCACTTTCTCTAGCTTGGTTAATTTTCATTTACTGATTTGACCTTATTCAATTCAGTTCATCCCAACATTTATTTAATGCCTGTTATATACAAAGCTGTGTATTAGCCACTGGTAATACAAAAACAAAAATGAAACAATCTCTGCCTCCAAACACCATCCATTCTACCACATGTACACAAGTAAATACTAAATACACAAAGCAGTTCCAAAAGAGAAAAACACTAACAACAGACTAAGGATTGGCGAATGCTGTGTGTGTGTGTGTGTGTGTGTGTGTGTGTGTGTGTGGCTGTGTGTCTGTGTGTCTGTGTGTCTGTGTGTCTGTGTACCTGAACTGTATTTTCATGTCAGGGATCCTAAGGAGTGGAGGTAAGGAGGGAGAGTGTATTCTAGACATGTTTACCACCTGTGCAAACGTGGAAAGATAGAATGCTGTGCATAGGGAACAAATAGCTGGATAGTTTGACTGAAATAGAGAGTGTGTGAAGGGGTATAATGTGAAATAAGAACGAAAAGGCAAGTGGGATCCATGTCGTGGCTAATCATTATCTAGCTAAGGAATTCATATTTCATCCTAGGGCACTAGAAGCCACTGAATATTTTTAGTAGGGAAGTGATGTGGTCCTGTAAATATCAGTTTGCCATCTGTGTGGAGGATTGATTGGAGAGGGAATAGAATGGAGGCTGGCCAAAATGAACACTTTGTACCAGGTGAAAATTGGTGAGGGTAGGGACTGTATAAGTGAGGAGATGGGGACAGATATAACAGGTATTTTGGAAGTAGAATCATAAGGGATAAGATATTGGGGATGAGGAAGAGGAATAAGCCAGGAATGACTTTAAGGATGCCAACCTGGGTGACTAAAAGAAAGGTAATACCCTCAATAGAAATTTGAGGAAAGGAAGGGTTTATACAAAAAGGAGGCAAGAGAAGAGAAGGGGTATATAATGAATTCCATTTTGGAGATAATTGAGTTTAGGTGCCTTCAGGACATCCACTTAGAAATGTCCAACAGACAGTTAGGAATGTTGGACTGGAGTTTTGGAGAGAGATTTGGACTTTATATAGATTTGTACTGAACCTTAAGAGACACCCACTCTTAGTGGGCTTTGTATCTTACAGAAGGGATGGAAAAAGGTAATCTTTGGTTTTCTCAAAAATTACTTTTCTTTTTATATGTTGAAAATTTTGCTTCCTTAGATATTGATGATTGTGAAAAAAATCCTGGTATCTGTGATGGTGGCCAATGTACTAATATTACTGGTGGCTATCTCTGTTATGATGGTTTCATGGCTTCTATGGATATGAAAACATGTATTGGTGGGTATTCAAAGGACAAGATATTAAGTTATACAATATATAAATAATGTCAGTTGATAGCTGGAGACACAGATCTTTCATTTCATTTAGTGTGGGAACTAGTGAGGGAACTCTACTCTCATCTATTAATGCAGATCAGTAACTCCTTGGAAAGTTCCAATCTTTGGTATCTATAGTACTGGGAAGTCAAGGGGCTTGCTCAGAATCATGCAGCCCTTATGTGTCAAAGGCAAGACTTGATGCATATCTTCCTGGCTCTAAGATCAGCTCTATCAACTCTACCATGCTGCCTCTCAGTACTTATGTATATGTACAGCTATGGTGTTTATGATGTAATGTTCATATTAAAAAAAAGTTTCCCCAAAAGTTTGAAAAGAAAAAGCTTCATGTATTGAACTAGGAAAATACGCCCTCTGGCTTCTGTGTTAAAATGGAGAGTTGAGGCAAAATAATAGTTAAGGTTTATTTACTGAGTTACAGTTTGCAAGTGCTCACACTACCCGTTTCACAATTGTGAAGAAAGCATTGTGTAAATGCTTGCTTTCAGATGAGTAACTCAACAATCACATATCTAGTTAAGTTTCTGAAACTGGGACTCAAACAAATTTCAGCTCAAAGGCTAATAAGCCTTCTCTAAACCATTCTACCTCTTTTATGATTATATTAAATCATGAAATATTCAATTGTTAATGAAATTTAAGTTATCACATTACAGAATTTTGTTGAAGTCTTTAAAATCCATCTGATTCAGGTCTTAACTCTTCCAGTAGATAGTCTTCTTGAATTCTTAAGACCAATAAAAATCAACCCAAGAATGGACAAAGAGTCCACACTGTGGTGATCCTCCCCCCCCGCCCAAATACTCAGTAGATATACAGACTATTTTCGGCCTTGTATGCTGTCTAACTTATTAGGACCTGCCAGAGGTTACACTCTTAACATAGCCTTTCAGAACTCAGGTGGGCTCCATGTTAAAATTTGGCATTACAGTAGGACTTTAGTAGACAATGCTAATTTAATAGTCAGTTAAAAAGATTTTCTCTCCTTGTTTTAAAAGCTTGATTATCATTGTGAAATTGAGAAAAGTAAGGAAGAGTTAAGTGTTTAGGATATTTGTGTATTGGTGCTGTATGTGTTGAACTACATATTGAATCACAGGAGTATAAGAAAATATCTGTTTTATATTATGGAAAAGTTTCTATGTGAAGACAGCACTTAAGGTAAATCCAATCACTTATATGATGAAAAATATTTAATACATTTCCCAGACTTTTAACATAATACCAACAAGATTTAAAGTTCAATGAAATGAAAGCAAGAAAGTTAAAACTTTTGTGTTAACCTGAACATGTAATAAATGGTTAATGTTATCTTCCTGGTTAAAAAAAATAGAATAATTCTTCTGACAAACTTCAAATATTTTATTTGAAGCAAAGAAACAAGGCACTTGATATTTTATTGAGCCAAATTTGGACAAGTCTTTGCTTTCTAGAAGGTAAAGAGCTAGATTGTATTTTTAAAGGCAATTACATTCATATTTAACGTACTGAATGCTTTTTAACCCATCTTAAATGTCTTATCAACAGTTATCTAGACTAATTTGAAAGAATGGTATAACTAATTGATTTCCCCCAATCACAAATAATGTACCTACATTAAGTGTATAGAAAAATTCATTATTTCTACTCATTCAATTTGGCTATGTTGCCTATGTTGTATTTTGTACGTGCAAACTACTTACATTTGCCAAACACGAATTATTTAACTTTAGGGATCACAACATTGTCCTTATAAAGTATGAGACATAGTGTTTGCTATTCAGTTTTTTTTGCTACATATCCATTCTTTGTCTATCAAACTACTAAACACACCTATATTCCTTCTCACTTTCATCCAACTGCTTCCTTTAATCCTCTTTCCAACTTCTTACCCTCATAATCATTCACTATTTATTGCTTCCTACTCACATTACAACAGTTAATGATAAAACAATGGCCACATATCATTCAAATGAATGAACTCTTTTGCCAAATATAATGAAAATGATAAGGCAGATAAATAATCCAATCTTAGGAATTTACCTTGGTTATTCCTGTCATGGGACAGGAAGAACTCAGTATTTTTGTTATTTTAAGTTTTTATGCTTAATTTAGACTTTTCATACAGTTCATGTTTTATGCAATTATCCATCACTTTTCTAGGGTTATCTTGGGATTATGTGCATTTTACAGGTTTATTTACTCCATGCTTTTCCAAAGCATAATCAAAAACCACATTCCCATTTACAAATTTAAATTAAGGGCAAATTTAATATTATTTTGTTTGTAAATGTTCTAGCTTATATTTTATTTTGTTCTCTTGGTATATAGATCTGGTTGAATGTTCTAATGGAACCCACCCATGTAGTATAAATGCCCAGTGTATGAACCGTGCTTGTTTTGAAGGATTCGCTGGAGATGGCTTTACTTGCTTAGGTTAGTGAATATTCAAACATATATTTTCCAACATCTTTTAACTGGTAAACTATTTTTCTATGCTATCCCTTATTTTGAAACAGTGCAATGAAATAAAATCAATAGCTACACTAAGGAACATTTTAATTATGACTACAGACACAGGATTTTTTTTTTTACTTTTACAGTGGACATAAAAATGTGTAATTTTAAAATTCTTATTTTTCTGTAAACTACAAAATAATAATGTATTATTAATTACCAGTATTTTCCTGTTATCCAACTAAATAGTTGGGTACAGTTATTGTGAAAATATGCATAGGTATGACTGGAACAAAATAGTAGGCATGTTATTCAGAGTTCCTAACATTTGTCAAGCACGAGAATCCCTTTTTAATATAAAAAAATTATAGACTCCTGTAGTATGAGTTGTATTATGATATCCATTGATTTAAAAAATACATGGTGTAAAATACTATGATGACTTAAATAGTTTTCATGAATTTTCATTTTATTAATTATGATAGCACCTATATATTTTTGAAAATAGTAACTCATACTATCAGGCTACAAAGGGTGTTTTGGCTTTTTTATAATTTTGTTGGAGCTAAATAAAAATTGAAATGATAATGTTTGATAAACGTGGATATATAGAACCTTTGTAATAAAGGGTGATTTTTGAAAGTATGTAACCCTTTCTACTCAGTAAGCTCCTTGGCTCTCTATTACCTCTAAAATCAAATATAAAGGCTTTTGTTTGGCATTTAAAATTATTCACAATTTGATCCATTCTGCCTTTATAGTCTTCTTACACTTTACTTCCCTTTTTAATTCTACAATCCAACTATACTGTTGTATTTGCGGCTCCTTGCACTTTTACCTCCTCTCTCCATCCCTCATTTTTGGAATGCTCTTTCCTCATCTGTAAAATTGAGTTTGACTAGGTGATCTCTGAGGTTTTTTCCAGCTCTAAATCTATAATCCTGCGATTGTAGGTGGCCTTTTAAAATAAGACCCACTTTAATAGTAATTAAGTCTCACATCGAGGGGATACTCTGGGTCTTCAGTTTTTAATGTTATAATGAGATATATTATAGTATATAATATAAATTATAATATAAAAATATCAAGTGATATAATATACTAGATATACTTTCTTGCTCATTGTAATTTTAAATATCACAATGCTTAAAATTGCTGCAGTACTAATAATTTGTTTCCAAACTTGGCAATTGTTTAAAGAAATAAACACCATATTTTATAATAGTACCAAAATTATTTTGAATTAATTACAGCATCCTTCAGGGAAAAATTATTGTTATCAATAAAGTGACAACACATTTGTTATGAGAGAGAAAATAACAAATGTAAGAAACACCCCTTAAAACTCCTTTAGACAGGATTGTTTGTGCTGAAGATTTAAATACTGGGTGCCATAAGCTTAATTGTCAGAATAAATGGTTAGATAAAGGAACAAACAGAAGAAAAAACATGCTTGCATAATAAAATATGAAAAGTCATGACAGTTTTATAGTAGTTGAGTCCCTTTCTTCCACAGATGTTGATGAGTGTGCAGAAAAGTTTAATCTTTGTGAGAATGGACAGTGCTTGAATATCCCTGCTACATTTCAATGTGACTATGAGATGGGCTTCACTCCAGGTTCAGAGAGCAGATTCTGCCAAGGTAAGCCAGAAGTATTCCAACTCCATTTTAAAGTTTAAATTGGCTATAATGAAGGAAATCACAAAAAGAAGCTGAAATGACCTCAAACAGGAAGCAGGTTTCACATTCTTTCCAGCACAGATTATTTTGAAGCATGAATAATGATGAAGCTAGTATTCATATCTCACAAAATTTTCCTGAATCAGAGACAATTTGATTCACCTCTTTTTTTTATTTGTTTTGTTTTATTTCATTTAACCATTTCTCATTTGCTGGTGGTGTTATTATTTTGTTTTTAATTAATAGAAAAACTATTTGACATTTTTTCATCAAATGAAATGCTGTCTACACCAAGCACTAGTACATTTTTCAGTTGACTGCTTATTTCGGGTAGCATCTTCATATTTCACTTGGTCATGTGATTTTCTGAGTCTCATCCAGGATATTATTGGCTAGTAATAATCCCATTCTTCCTTTAAATTGTGATGTCTCTCACTTCCTAGAATAGAATTTTTATATAGTAGCATGATATTTTTCCAAAAAATAAAGGTTTGGACTTTCTTTTAAATTATACACATAATTCATATAGATACAATGTGGAAGATCTTTTATTTTTCCCAAAATTTTAAACAGGAAATTAACTAGTGGAAATTTTTTTTATTAGTTTTTGCCCCAGTGATTTTTAGATCATTCAGGGAAGAAGATCCCAACATCTGAAGGAACCTCATTTTTTTAGGAAGTATTTGTAAAATGATACATACAATTCTTATATCTGAAAGTCTTGATAAATTAAGTTGTTCATAGACAAACTGAAAATGTGGCTTATCATTTGTAATTATAGAAGTCACTCCAACCATCATATATCACTTGCAAATGAAATTTATTTCCATTGTATATGGTTTCAGTTGCTGGTTAATAAAATACATAGGAAAATCTATATAATAGAGAACTGATTTACTGTTTGCAAAACATTATCTCATTTTGGAGGTTTGTTATCAAAGTGAGCTGCTCCACACAATCTGTACTAATCATTTTAACCCCTTTGTGAATAAACATATGGCCAACTGAAGAAAGCCATTTAAGAGATCTTTAAATTCTAAGAATATAAAGAAAATTGTTTTAGAAAAGTTTACTCTCTTTTTTTTACTTATATGTACACATATGCATGAATATACACAGTTACTACATCAGTACAAATATATTCATGTACACTAATTTTAATGTAGGCACAGAAAAATATCCTTGTTTATTGATATTCAATAAACTGAGTTTCTAGCTAAAATTAAACAAAAATACTTTGAAGAAATTTGAAATGATGGGATGGAAGGAACTTTCATGTATGACTGTAGAAACAAAAACTCTTTTCTAATGAATGCAGTCAGAAGATTTATGTACCTAGTTATTAAGGTATATAAGGTACTCTGTTCTAGTTGAATGCAGAATGCAATATAAAGAAAACTACACAACAAAAAGGATTGAAAATTAAATTTAGAAATTATGCTTTATAATTTTAGATATTGCCCAAAAGAAGTTTTTGTTTTATGTATTAGTTCATTCACTTGCCAAATTTTTTTGACTATGTGCTATGTACCCAATGCTTTATTAAGTATTTCTAGTTAAGAATTAAAAAGTTCTTTTTTTTTTAAATTTTGAACATAGCACCTTTAAATGTTTTCCATTTAATTTTGGTTTAACCAAAAATAGCTTTCCTGTTTTAACACATGATTAATTTTTGGTATCTAATTAATATTAAACTTTAATTGCAGATAAAATATCCAAATATCATTTTCCCCTGATAAATCATTAAGTTATCAGTAGGTAGGGGAGAAATCTGAATAGATTAAAAATATTCAATACATTTATATTAGTACCATAATTTTATCCATTGTAAACAAATGATGCAATAATATATATTTTACATGTCTTTAGATGTTGATGAATGCTCATTCCAGAATATCCATGTCTTTGGAACATATAAAAACTTTCCAGGAATGTTTCATAGCATCTCTGATGATGGTTATGAGTTGGATAGAACAGAAGGAAACTGTACAGGTCTGTCAATTGTCTAAATATGAAAATTTGTTCTAAAGATGGTTGATTATGTACTGATTAGTGTATGTGAATATTTGGTGCCAGATTTAAGAAATGATAACGATGTAATTATATAGTTCTTTAACCTTTCACACCTTTCCCCCCCTTAAAACAATCCAATAAGGTTGGCATTGCAATATTATTACCCTCTTTTTACAGATGAGGCTCAGACAGGTTAAACATGTCTGAATAATAATGATGATAATGAGAATAATACTAATAACAAAATAGTTAGCATTCTACAGAGCTTTAAGGTTTGCAAAGTGCTTTATAAATATTATCTCATTTGAACCTCAGAACAACCCTGAGAGATAAGTGCTATTATTATTCCCATTTTACCGATGAGGAAACAGAGGCACACAGAGGTTAAGTGACTAGCCCAGGGTCATACAGTTTGTTTCAGAGGCTGGATTTCGTCCTGAATCCAGATCCAGCAGTCTTATGTTTACTGTGTCACCTAACTGTCCTGACACAAATCTGTTTCCCCTGATTACAAGTCATCTTGGAGCCTGTTGGATCAATTAGAAAACTGTTGCGATAGTCCAAGTGAGAAGTGCCTGAACAGTGACTGTGTAAATGGAGAGAAGGGGAGACATATAAAAAATAATTAGACCTCAGATTACATGTGTAGGATGAATTTGAGTGAAGAGTCAAGAATGATACCTTGATTATAAACCTAGGTGACTAGAGAATGATGGTATCTTCAGTAGTAATATATGAGCTGGAAAGAGAGGAAGGTTTAGGTGGAAAGATAATGATCTATTATTGGACATGTTGAGTTGGAAATGTCAATGCTACATCTAGCTTGAAATGTCCTATAACCAGTTAATATGGGACTGGAACTCATCAAAGACTAGGGATGTATATATAGATTTAGGTGTTACCTGCATAGAGATTATAATTAAACTATTAGGAGCTTATGAAGTCATCCAGTGAGAGAATGTAGAGAGAGTAGACAAGGGGATCCTGAGCAGAACCTTAGATGATACCTTGGTTAGTAGGCATGACCAAAATTAAGATATATCAAGTGAGAGTAAGAAAGAACAATCAGATATATAAGAAGGACCAAGAGAGAACAGTCACAAAACACTAGAGAAGGGAGAGTACCCAGGTGAAGAGAGTGGTTAGTATTGTCGAAGACTGCAGAAAAGTCAAGAAGGATAAAAACTGAGAAAAAAACTACTTGATCTGGCAATTAAGAGATCACTGATAACTTTGAAGAGACAAATTTCAGTTGAATCATTTGTTCAGAAGCCAGGTTTCAAAAGTTTTTAGACCTGTGTGAAAGGAGAAGTGAAGCATGTATTGTAGACAGTTTTCTAAAGGACCTTAGCCACGAGAGAAAGGAGCTATAGATCATAGCTAGTAAAATGGTTGGAAACAAGTGTACTTTAAGGATTGAGGAGATATGAGCATGTTTGTAGGTAGTAGAAAAGAACCAGTAGGTAAAAAGAGATGAAGATTGAAGAGTGGGGATGATAGTAGGGGCAGTGTCCTGGAGAAAACAGAAGGAGATGGGATCAAGGGAATATTTAAAGGGGTTTATCTTGGCAAGGAAAAGAGCTTCCTTTTGATCTGAGATGGGAATGGAGGGGCAGAGGGGAAAGAAAGGAGGAAGAGAATAAGCATTTATAACACCAACTATGTGTGAGGCACTGTATTAAGTGATTTTATTTTACAAATATCTTCTTATTTGATCCTTACAAGAGGACAGAGAGGTTTGAAATAAGTGCTTTGGTGAATGGGATTTATTCAAAATTAATCAAAAGATTAAGAAGGTATAAAAAAGATTGACATGCTGTAGAGGGCTCAGTTTAGTTTTTATTATAAATTTTTATTCAGCACTCACCAGGATTTTTTTTATTTTCTCTGACTTAATTCACTAGTACTTAAATAGGAGGAAAGGGTGCAAATGATGAGAGTAATCCATTCTTACAGTTTGGCAGAGTATGACTGGTGATAGACAGTGGGTAAAATGTGTTAAAAAGTAAAGTGTAGTATAGAGTTGAACTGATTCATCAGAATTGAGATATGGAAGGGAGAAGAGTGTAGCTATTGCAAGGAGTGATGCCTTGGGAAAAAAACAAAAACAAAAACTGAAGAGTGAAGAAGTTAGAGGTCATGCCAGGAACAAAGGGTCATAAGGCATAGGGAATGATCGAATTATAAAAGATGACGAGAAAGTAAAGGAAATTTGGAGTGCATTAACAGAATAGTTGTAAGGGATGGTAGGATAAAGGAGATGACCATCTATATGGTTGAAGTACAGGAAAGGAGTTGGTGGTGGAAATTGAATAGAATGAGGAACTGGGAAGTTAGGTTAATTGAGGCAGTATTTATCTATCTATCATATATCTATTTATATGCATATATACATACAAATGTAAATCTAAGACAGGAATGGAAAGGAAGAAGGGAAGATAGAAAAGAATAGGCAGTACTATGTGCCATCCATTGTGCCAACTGCTTTTTTTTTTCAACAAATGTCTTATTGGATCCTCACAATTACTCTGCAAGGTAGGTGCATTTCACAGTTGAGGAAACTGAAGCAAAAAAAAAAAAAGGTCAGGTGACTTGCCTAGCCCAGGGTCTTACAGTTAGTAAGTGTCTAAGACCATATTTGAACTCGTTTTCCTGACTGCAAGCCCAGTAATCAATCCACTGTGCCATCAGCTGCCTCTAGAGTAAATGGGGAGATAGTAGAGAAAGATGTCTGAATGATGTATACATGCATATGAATGTGTGTTCATATATATGTATACATACATGCACATATATTTAAGTCCCCTAATGTTAAGGCAAGAGTTGAGGTAAAGAGCAAGACTGTAAGAAAGGCCCTGAACTTATTGAGGAAAGAAGAGTAATGTCCTGAGGACTGATAAATAATAGCTACCAGGATCTTAATAGAAAGATAAATCTAGATGGTGTAAACGTCAAAGGAAGAGATATTGCTAAATGATTATGGCAGAGGGAGAGTCTAAAAATGTTAGTGGAGAACAAGGAGCCTTCCTTTGAAACCTTACAAAATATAATATTGACCTTATTCAAGAAGAGTTTTAAAAAATCTATTTTCTCATTGAAATTATAGAAACCAAAATTACATTTTGCTTAATGTTACATATTTGATTCTTTAAACTTTGTTTATTGTTTTAGCATGAAAGTTTTGAAGTGTTCTCTGTACCTTTTCCTTCCCTATTCATTTAAAACTTTGCCAATCATTTAAACTGATTTGGAACATGAATCTATGTGGGACATTTAAGAATTAAAAATTGTATTAAAATGTTTTTCTTCTAGATGTTGATGAGTGTGCTGATTCCATCAATTGTATTAATGGTCTCTGTGTTAATACCTCTGGTCAATATGAGTGTAACTTTCCACCAGACTTCCAGCTAAACCCAACTGGTGTAGGTTGTGTGGGTATGTATAATTTATGAAAAAAAACCCCAAATAAACAGAAAACAATATTTATTCAGCTTCCTTAGAACATGAATTCTAATGAGTCCTTTTTGGAGATAATTTTTAAAATACATAATTTAAATTAACTTCCCCCTGATTCTTCCTAGCTGATAGTCAAGTTTATTAAATATGTAGCAATGATCACCATTTTCATATCCCCTTTGGGGTGTTTAATATTTCTTTCATTCACCTAATAGAGGGAGAAATTTGAGGAAATGATGGTGATGATGATGATACTTTATATTTGTGGAATGATTTGCCATTCATAAAGTACTTTCATGTATATGTCACTCTCATTTGATCCTTATTATAACCCTCAAAAGGGATGTGGATAGATGTTTTTTTCATCTTCTTCTTTTTTTTTTTTGGTGAGGCAATCAGGGTTAAGTGACTTGCCCAAGGTCACACAGCTAGTACGTGTCAAATGTTTGGTCTGAGGCCGGATTTGAACTCAGGTCCTCCCGACTTCAGGGCCAGTGCTTTATTCACTGCACCACCTAGCTGCCCCTCATCTTCATTTTCTAAATGAGAAAACTGAGGTTCAGAAAACTGTCCTTGACCGTGGTCAACAACGTAGTAAAGGAACTTAGAGCCTGGAATAGGACTGCTGACCCTCAATATAGAGCTTTTTCTGCAAGTTGCCTCTGAATGAGGTAATAAGATAAAGTAATCAGGAAAATGTTAACAAAGGGATAAAAGAGATCGGGCCAGAGGAGGATAGAATAGAATTATGTTAAAGATTATATTTTATTATTATATTAATTATAATTGTATTAAAGATAAGAAAATATAATTAAAGATATAGATTAATATAGATATCTTCATAAGATAGAAAGATATAGATTGTATTAAAGATAAAGATAAAATATTAATTTCTATTAATTTATATAATATTTTATTGATTATATTAAATTATTATTATATTAAATATAAGAACATCTGTATTTTTTATCAACAGTTCTTTGAAAAGATAGGTCCTTCTAAAGTTTTACTATGCAGTTCATTCCTATCTATCCTATTCCTACTTGGTTGTATTTACCTAGAGGAGTTTTTTAGTTAAAATAAAAGAACTAATTAAGAGGTCAAGAAAGAAGGCTGTCCCATGTCTTTACTGCTGTTTCCTACTATCCTCAATGCCTTTATTCCTGTTTATTATAGTGCCATTTATCTTGATGTGAAAAGTAAGAAATACTTTCTACCATGAGTCACATATTAGACATACTTTAGAATTTTTAGGTAATCAGTAGTTGTGTAATTTTCAAAAATATTTCAAATTTCACAGAAATATATTTTAGCCATTGTTAACTTCATTTTTAGTTCCACTTTCCCAAATCTTTACATTCTGTACTCTCTCAAGATTTATACAAATTGCCTTTCCTATAGCAGATATCTGAAAGATAGTTCCTGTCTGGAGTGTAAAATATTAATGTTAGTTAAAAAGATAATGTGTAAGGAATTCCAGGAGCCAAAAGGTAAAAGCATGGTAGAGATAATTTGAAGATTAATAGAAGCAATATTTTTACTGATTTTACTGTAGAACACTAAGAAAGAGGAATTATATAAAAAGTTCAGAAAACATCTCACAAATCCATCATCATATGGTATGTGGAAGCATAATATGGCAGTGATTAGAAAGTTCTACTATCTGAAATCTGTTCAAGTTTACTCTCTCCAAAAAGAGCAGAGTACCTAATAATTTTCTGAGTTTCCCAAATGACAATTTCATCCTTTAAAAGATAGGTGACCATTCTAGACAACAAATAACCAAAGATCATTAAAATTGTGGGATTATTCGAGGAAGTAATCACCCCAATTTACATTCTATGTTAGAGGAAAGAAAAACAAGATGATATATTCTCTTGATTTTAGGAGATCATATTTCAAAGGATGTAGAGGAAAGATAAGATCCTATGGACAAATATTTTTCAATGGAGGTCAGTCCAGAAGAAAAATAGATTTGTTGCACCTAAAATAGGGAAAATAGGATAAAAGAAGGACCAGTACTACTGCTCAGGATGGATAGGATGAAGCTGAGCTTCTCAGCTCATATTTTGCTTCTGTTTTCTTAGCCAAAAATTATCTTTGGACTATAAAGGACATAACAAAAGTTTCTAATATGTTGAAACTCAAGATAACTGGAGACATTATAAGAGAGTACCCAGCAACCCTTCATAACATCAAGTCATTAGGCCTAAATAAACTACATACCAGGTTGTTGAAAGAACTAGCAGGTATTATTTCTGAGGTCACTATCAGTGACTTTGGAAAGTTCATGGAGAGCAAAACAGCTACTGCAGTATTGGAGAAGAGCAAATGATCTTATTTTCAATAATGAGAAGAGAGTTGAGTCTTCAAACTACAGAGCACTGAGTTTAACTTTTAAACCTGGGAAAATACTAAAACATATTAAAAGAATGGTTACTAGTCATATAGAAAAGTAAATGGTGATTACAAATGGGCAGCATGACCTTTTCAAGAATAATCATACCATATTAATCATTTTTGACAGGGTAAATGAGAAGATATAGATATGATTTACCAAGGTTTTAGGAAAGCATACAGCAAATTCTCTTGTGTTATGGAAAAATGAATAAATGTAGACTAGATGATAACTTAATTTGGTAGACTAGGAACTGGTTGAAAAGATTGAATGTTTCAGTAGTTTGATGTAAACTGGGAAGCAGAGCTTTAGACAATTGACCAGAGATCTGTTTGTTCCTAAGCTGACAAGTTGATCACTAACAAAGGAGGAACTACCATGCTTAATTAAAAAATTTAAAAAAAACCCCAAAACCTAGACATATGAGAAAAATTGGGGGGTGAGGAGAGGTGTCTGATTGGCTATAAATTGCGTTACTCAACAATGTGATGTTGCCATCAAAAATAGTAATACAATCTTAGGCTACACTGAGAGATAGTGATCAGGATTAGGAAAGTGCTAAACCTATTGCGTTCTGTCTCAATCAAACCCCATTTGGAGTACAAGTTCAGGAACATTAAATAGAGAACATTATTAAGCTCAAGCACATTTAGAGAAGAGGTAATTAGGTGATTAAGGCAATTCATGTCATTCAAAGGTGGATTTAAAGACTGGGAGTTTGACCTAGAGAATAGAAACATTAAGTGGAATTGAATTGTCACGTGAAAGCGGAAATAGATTTGCTCTGTTTGATTCCACTAAGAGTAATGCATTGATGGCATATGTTCAATATAAGGAAAAACATAACAATAATAATAATAATAATAATAATAATAATAATAACTATCCCAATGTGTGATGGACTACCTCAGAAGGTAGTAGGGACATGGTAGAGCGTATTTTTTTCCAACTGCATTTATATTAGATGTATTAAGAAGTCTTTTCCAACTTCTCACAAAAGAAATGTTAAAGTTTGTAGTATTCCTTCAACAAGTACCAGTAGTTCTAAGCTCCTATATTGCTCTACAGATAATCAAGTTGGTAATTGCTACCTGAAATTTGGTCCCCGTGGGGAAGGGCTTCTGTCCTGCAACACTGACATTGGTGTTGGAGTTAGTTGCTCCTCATGCTGCTGCTCTCTGGGAAAGGCCTGGGGAAATCCCTGTGAGAATTGTGCATCTATGAACAGCAGTAAGTATAAGCATCTTTTTAAAATTTTTCTAAATGTAGTGACTGCTGTGCTTGAGATTTTAACAAAAGGGAAAACTGAGACAGATCTCTGTTCAAGATAACATTTATTAGCCAAGGCATGCCACCTGTCAATTACTGGGTCAATGAATTGCCTTTTTTTAGGCTAAAGACCCAAGAACAGAACAGGGTAGATGACATCATGGGATTGAGGACAATATGACTGGTTATAAAACTGAGGCACAGGGAAAAACATAATTGGTTGGGAGTTTGGTAATGGAGGCTATCAACAACCCCCCTTCTCCTCTCATGAGACTAAGATATTTGAGTCCAGGTGTGAGATAGCAGCCCAGACTTTTGGAAAGCAAACTGTACATCCTTGAAGGATAGCTTGGTGGAATAAAGATATCAGGTCCAACTCCCTTTCTGTTCACATGCATTCTCCAAGGTCAGTTAAATTCCGTGAGCAGGAGAGCTGGTTTTTTAAACTTAACACCTTACAAGCCAGCTGAACTCTGAACTAAGTTCAGAGACAGAGAACCATGAGTTTAGAAGTTACAGGACAAAATTAATTAATTGTAAATAGGATCAATAAAAAAATGATATGGGATTGATCTTAATCTTCTCACAATCCTTTGGAGACAGATCCCCACAGGCAGCCAACACCAACAAGAAATGAAAAGGGGAAAAGGAAATCTGAAAAGTTAGTCCTATTTTAGTCCTTGTATATTTTGAATAATTGTGTGAATTTCAAAGAAATAAAATTGGACTGATGTCAAGAGTAACTTAATGTTGCAGTGAATGATCTGGATTTTAAATGCATTTTAATAATTCTCAAAAATAACTCAATCAGACTTACAAATTTTAATTATGAAATGCAATGGACTACTTTTGGCACAGTTGTAGTAAATTTTTTATCATTCAGTTAATACTACTCAAACAGGTTGGCACCAATGTTCCAGGGGCAATGTAATATTTTCCCTGAAAAAAATAAAAATTACTATATTAAGACTTTTCCTCTTTAAAAATTCAAAATGTTAGATGGTTGATTTTTGTGGAACAGGATAAACCTATCTTTACATCCATATAGACTGAAATGTTTCTGTTTACAAAAAGGAAATTGAATTCTTACCATTTTTCAAGTTTCTGTACTAGAATAAGATGTATTAACCAGAACCCACTATAAACCACAACTTTACCTTGTCATAGTATTGTAGATAAATCTTTATTATAGTTTTTCTTAAACTGTGTTATTCTGTTTTGAGATTAATTTCCTTCTTGAAGTTAGTCACAGAATACCTTATCTTCAAATTCTTTTAAGTTCCAACATTGACATAAGCTACAGCTCATTCTCTGCACAGTACTCAGCTTTTGTATCCTAGAACTGCATCACCAATTCATTTGTTCCCAAGAGGGAAAAGATGGTTTTTTTTCCTTCCCTTTTATTTCTGTTATGTGCATATAATTTTTAAGGTTGTACACTTTTGAAAGCAGATTTTGGAGAATCAAGATCACATGACCAGCACAATGGTGTCTTATACTTTCTCCAAACCACTTTAACCCTTCAAAAAGGAGGAATTATGCACCAGACCTAAAGTAATTACAGCTAAATCCACAGGAGAAAGAGGGTAAGGACCCCAGCGAGGTGAAATCAATATCCAACAACTATTCCAACAAAGACCTAGAAAGAGTGCTAGACCAAGTTGTGATTAGGAAATCGAAGAAACCCGATAAATCATTTTCCCAGTCTAGGTCTTCAGAAGGAGACATAATGAGGTCTAGATACAATAGGAACAAGATGGTGAGCAGAGCCTTCTGGCATAGAGTCTGGACTGGGGACTTTGTCTATGTACTTGGGCCTTTGTCTATGTACTTGGGCCAGAGGAGGTCACGCAGACACAGGGAAACTGTACAGGGGGGCAGGACCAGGCACCAGCATCCACTTGGCCATTTGTATCCCAGAACTGGACCACCAGTTCATGGCAGTCTGAGGAGAAAACGTGTGCCTGAGAGTGGCAGAGCAAGGCAAGGAGTAGTCTTGAGCTTGTGGCTGTGTACTGGGCAAAGATGAAGAACAGAAGTTAACAGCATCTCAGATTCACCCCTACACACACACACACACACACAGTCAACCCAGTAATCAGGAAAGGGAACGTAGACCACAGGGGAATCTGTGCAGATCTGTCACTGAACCTGCAGACTTTTATCTAATTGACAGGAGTTGGGGCTAGCAACAGACCGCATGAGCTCCAACAAAAGACAAGTTTACAGTTGTGTTGCCTACACCTGTAAATCAGAGCTTGCCAGGGTAAGATCAGGAAAGACTCAAGATAGTTAAAGAGGAGACAACATTGCTGACAACATGATAGTTTATCCAACTTTATCAAATCTTAGGGAATCAGCAAAGGTACTAGTTAAAGTCATTTTAACTTCAGTAAAAGACCAAGATACGGAATAAACCCACAAAACCCAACAGCATTTGTCTATAATAACAATAAAAGCCAAGAGGCAAAAATAGAAAGGGAAGTATATTTATTTTCATTGGCTATACCTTGTAAACATAAATATCATGTGTCCTTTTTTTTCCTAGCTGAGTATTATACTCTGTGTCCAGGAGGTGAGGGCTTCAGACCTAATCCTGTCACTATCATCCTTGAAAGTGAGTTCATTTCTAATAACCACCAATATCTGAACCAGCTAGAAAATATAGTACTGAAAAATAATTCTTAAATAGCTCATGAAAAATAGATGTACCCTTGAAATTATCATCTCACATATCATCCAATAAAGTTTTAGCATGCTGAATAAAAAATTTGGTTTTAAATCCATTTTAAGGAGGACTACGTGTATATCATAGGAATGTAGCTGCAATTTATTACTATCTTGATAGATAGTTACACTTAACTGTGAATCTCTTCCCCTTTGGGTGTTGAGCATCTTTAAATCTTTGAATGTTGTGGTTTCATGACTTGTACCTATATGGTATCATTAGAAAAGTATTGGTATTAAAAATATGGGCTTGTGTTTCAGGAAGAAGCTTAGGGTCATTAAAAGAACTATAGTTTCTTAAAGACAATCCTGCCTGCTCTCCTCATATCAATTATGACTTCAACTCAGTAACCATTTACAGTGACTAAACAAGATATATGTACTAATTGATAAGATCCATGGGATGTCCATTCTCTTGTGTGTAGAATTTGATTTTTCCTGTGTATATATAGTAAGCCAAAATCTTTTGAGTGATTATGTGTTTCATTTGGGAGATTTAGAAATATGAATGGATATAAGCTAGCAGTAACGTATTAAAAGCAAAAAATTATGCTGGAGATACTGGATAAAGGATGTCATCAAAGAACTGTATGGCCAGAAAAAAATTAGGTCAGTCAGATAATGAGAACAAGAGATAACCTATAAACAACACAACATATTCTGTTGGTATGCTACATATAAAGAGATCTAGAAGAACTACTACATATTCTGTACACTGCCATTGGCAGATTTATGGGAAAATAGGATGAGAGTTGAGCAGGCATGGATCTCTGTCATTGCAGGGAATCCCTCCATAAATAAAATCACAGTTCATTGAAGCAGATGAAAATTCAACTAAAAGGAAGCAAAATGACAAACATTATTCTTACAAAGTAATTGTGTCACAGTATTATCTGAATGATGTGGACCAAAAAAAAAAAGCATTTTACCGTCACTACCAAATTTGAACAATCCTCCCAACTCTGTCACCCTTTTAAGATGGTAGCAAAGCTAAAATAATCAGTTGTCTAGAAAATCATGTCAATTCAGTATGCATTAACTTAGATGTATAAAGCAGTTATATATGTCAAAATCATTCTTCTCTTGGATTACAGCAGTTGTTTTCAACTATAATTATTTCTGTTATGCAGGTATTGATGAATGCCAAGAATTACCAGGTCTCTGCCAAGGTGGAAACTATATCAACACTTTTGGGAGCTTCCAGTGTGTATGTCCACATGACTACTACCTCAGTGAGGAAACTTGTGTCTGTGAAGGTGGAGCAAATTCTTACAAATCAAGTAAAATACTTAGAGAAAAATTAGAGGTTACTTCTAGAGAAAAATGTCCAATTCACAAATTCCATGAGAGAAATCTGTTTATTTGGGCCCATCTCTCTTCTTTCTAAAAAGGTTTTGTGAGTCCTCAAAATTACATAGAATGTTTTAAAAATATTTTCTATGAAAGTTCATTTAAATGGTTCATGGCATATTTAAGATGTTGATGTTATCCATTTACCTTCTATTGTCAGAGCAATTTGGAAATATTTGTTGTTTTGTTTAGTCATGTTTCAGTTGTGTCAGACTCTTCATGACCCCTTTTTAGGGTTGTCTTGGCAAAGGTGCTGGAGTGATTTGCCATTTCCTTCTTGAGCTCATTTTTACAGATGAGAAACTGAGGTAACCTGGGTTTAAGTGACTTGCCCAGGGTCACTCATGAAGATGAGTTTTCCTGATTCTAAGCCCATTGCTCAAGTTTATGACAAGCAATGGTGGATAGCAAAACAGAACATAATAGAGTCCTTCAAGCACTGAGTTTCTCATCCAAGGAGGGAGAACCCTTTACTGATCAGGCTGCTGCAGGGATAGCCCATTTTCTGCTTCTTTAAATAATCTGCCATATTTTCTTGTCTGCAGGGCCCTAGCCCACCATGCTCCCCTGCTTGTATTCTTCTTCCTTGTCACCATGGAATCTAGGTGGAGCAGTGGATAGGAAATCAGGAAAACCTGAAGTCAAATCTAGCCTCAGACACTTACTGTGTGACCCTGGGCAAGTTACTTAACCTCTGGTCGCCTCAGTTTCCTCAGTCTTAAAATAGGAATAACAGTACATCAGAGGGGTGTTGTGAGGATAAAATGAGATGATAATTATAAAGTGCTTAGCTCAGTGCCTGGTACATAGTAGATGCCATATAAATGTTCATCCCTTTTCTTTTCTCTCCCCTAAACTTCTTTGGGCTGCCAGATCTAAAGCCTCCCCCCACCACCACCGAGAGCTACTGAGTTCTTTCATCAAAGCTTATGTTCAGGACTGTATTACAATATCAAAATTTTACATGCATTTCCTTTTTTTTTCAACAAGCAAACATCACACTACATAGACTACTTATTTTAATAATTATTGCACTTGATAATTATACTGAAAGAGTGAGGGAAGGGGCAAAAAATCCTGGCAGAAAAATGGTTTAGTAAAGAATGACTTTATCTTATAGAGCAGTGGTCACCAAACTTTTATCATATACCTCACCTATAAATCATTTTTGAGCAGTCATGCCAATGTGTGCATACATAGTATGTTAATATATATAATATAAATGGACAACTTCTCTAATATATGTAAATTATAAAACTTAAAAGATCGAAATAGGAATTGAACTTGTCATTTCATTGATACAGGGAGTAGCTGGGTAAGGAAACTCTGTTTATCAGTGCAGGTCAACACCTCATCTGCAACTTTTTTCATTTAATATTCTTACTCAAGTACATGTAAAAAAAATTTTAACATTCTTTTAAAAAATTTTAGGTTCCGCATTCTCTCCATCTCTCCTTCCACATACCCTCCCCCTTGAGAAGGCAAGCAATTTGATATAGTTTTTTCTTGTGCGGTCATGCCAAACATATTTCTATGTGAGTCATGTTGTGAAAGAAAACACACACACACACACAAACAAGAAAAAGGAAAAGTATGTTTCATTCTACCTTCAGACTCCATCAGTTCCTTCTCTGGAGATGAAGAGCATTTTTCATCATAAAGCCCTTCAGAATTATTTTGGTTCATTGTATTGCTGAGAACAGCTAAGTCATTCACAGTTGATCATCATACAATATTGCTGTTACTATATACAATGTTCTTCTGGTTCTGTTTATTTCACTTTGCATCAGTTCGTGTAAGTTTTCCAGGTTTTTCTGAAAGCATCCTGCTTGTCATTTCTTATACCACACTAAAATTCCATCACAATCATATGCAACAACTTATTCAGCCATTCCCCAATTGATGGACATCCCCTCAATTTCCAATTCTTTACCACCACTTAAAGAACTACTAGAAAAATATTTTTGTACATACAGCTCCTTTTCCTGTTTGCTTTTATCTCTTTGGGATACAGACTTTGTAGTGGTATTGCTGGGTCAAAGGGTGAGCATAGTTTTATAGCTCTTTGGCCATAGCTCCAAATTGCTCTACAGAAAGGTTGAATCAATATACCACTTCACCAACAGTGCATTAGTGTCTCAATTTTCCCCATCAACTCCATCATTTGTCATTTTTTTGTTCTGTCAGATGAGCCATTCTTATAGGTGTGGGGTGGTGCCTCAGTGTTGTTTTAATTTGCATTTTTTCTAGTCAATAGTGATTTAAAGCATTTTCCGGAAGACTATAGACAGCTTTATGTCATCTGAAAACTATCTATTCATATCCTTTGACAAATTATCAATTGAGGAATGGCTCTGGTTTCTATAAATTTGACTCAGTTCTCTTTGTTTTTGAAAAATGAGGTCTTTATCAGAGAAATATGTTGTAAATTTTTTTCACGGTTATGATTACTTACTATGTATTTCCTTCCATGCTATTTTCCCCATTTATCCTAATCTCTCTCTCTCCTTTCACGTATCCATTCTCAAAAATATTTTGCTTTTCTGGCTTTTATCTTCCCCAATCTGCTCTCACTTCTATTTCCCACCTACCCCTTTTCTCTTATCCCCTTCTCCCACTTTTCTGTATGGTAAGATAGATTTCTGTACCCAACTGAGTTTGTATGCTATTCTCTCCTTGAGCCAATTCTGATACAAGTAAAGTTCATGCTTTCCCTCCCTACTGCCCTCATCTTCCCCTCCACTTTTTTTTTTTTTTGGCTAGGCAGTGGGGTTAAGTGATTTGCCCAGGGTCACAAAGCTAGTAAGTGTTATGTGTCTGAGGCCAGATTTGAACTCAGGTCCTCCTGAATCCAGGGCTGGTGCTCTATCCACCTGCTCCATCCCCTCCACTTTTGTACCTCTTTTATGTCTTTTGTACCTCTTTTATAACCTTTTTTTTGTACCTATTCTACCTCTTCCTTTCCCCTTCTTTCAGTATATTCCTCTTTCTTACCCCTTATTTTTATTTTTTTTTAGATAATCATCCTGTCATATTCAACTTATACTCATGCCCTGTCTATGTATACTCCTTCTAACTGTCCTAATAATGAAAAGTGTTTTAGGAGTTACAAATATTGTTTTCCCATGTAGGAATGTAAATAGTTTAATGCTGAATCCCTTATGATTTACTTTTTCTGCTTACCTGTTTAGCTTCTCTTGAATCCTGTATTTGAAAGTCAGACTTCCTATTCATCTCTGGCCTTTTCATCAGGAATGCTGGAACATCCTCTATTTCATTGAATATCCATTTTACCACTGAAGGATTGTCCTCAGTTTTTCTGGGTGGGTGATTCTTGGTCGTAATCATAGCTTCTTTGCCTTCCAGAATATCATATTCTAAGCCCTCTGATCCTTTAATGTAGAAACTACTAATTCTTGGGTTATTCTGACTATCCTCCTTGATATTTGAATTGTTTCTTTCTGACTGCTTGAAATATTTTCTTCTTGACCTTGGAGCTCTGGAATTTTACTATAATATTTCTGAGAGTTTTCATTTTGGGATCTTTTTCAGGAGGTGATCAGAGGATTCTTTCAATTTCTATTTTACCCTCTGGTTCTAGAATATCAGGGCAGTTTTGATAATTCCTTGAAAGATGATGTCTAGATTCTGTTTTTGATCATTGATTTCAAGTAGTCTAGTAATTCTTAAATTATCTCTCCTGGATCTATTTTCCTGGTCAATTATTTTTCCAATGAGATAGTTCATATTTTCTTCTATTTTTCAATCTTTTGATTTTGTTTATTTCATGATGTCTCCTAAACTCTAATTTTTAAGGAATTATATTTTTCTGTTAGCTTTTGTACCTCCTTTTTATTTGGCCAATTATACTTTTTAAGGAGTTCTTCAGTGAATTTTTGTACTTCTTTTTCCATTTGGACAATTCTGCTTTTCAAGACATCCTTTTCTCCATTGGATTTTTGTTCCTCTTTAACTATTTGGCCTATTCTGATTTTTAAGGTATTATTTTCTTCAGTATTTTTTGTGCCTCCTTTACCAAACTGTTGACTCTTTTTTCATAATTTTCTTGCATGACTGTCATTTCTCTTCTCAATTTTCTTCTACCTCTCTTACTTGATTTTTAAAATCATTTTTGGGCTCTTCGTGGTCTGAGGCCAATTCATATTTTTCTATGAATTGTTAGATGTAGCAGTTTTGACTTCATTGTCTTCTTTTGAGTTTGGATTTTGATACTCCCTGTCACCATAGTAACTTTCTATAGTCAGAATCTTTTTCTCCTGTTTGCTTATTTTTCCAGCCTATTTCTTGACTTTTAACTCTACACTAAAATGGGGGTCTGCTTCCAGAGTGGAGGAAGCACTGTCCCAAGCTTCAGGTTTTTTTGTGTAGCTGTTTTCAGAGATAATTCCGGGGACCTGTAAGTTTTCAGTTCTTCCAAGGTGTTATGATTTAAGGAGAGGTGTGTTCATTACTCTCCTGACCTGTGCTTTGTTCTGTGAGAGACCAGAAGCACTTTTTTCCACCCTGGAACTTTTACCAGGGTCAAGGTCCCAGCTCCACTGCAGCTGCAATCTCTAGTGTGTGCTAGTGCTCCTCTTCTCCCTGAAACCCAGGATTGTAACCCAGATCCAAGTATGGGCAATGAAACAGAGTTCTGTCCCTTGTGCCAAAAAAAAGAGACCCCTGTAATCTTCTTCTGACCAGTTTTCTGACCCCTTTACCCTCTTTGGGCTGAGAGGTCTGCAACCTGCCACTGATGCAGTTGCCCCCAAGACCTATTGCTGATTTGCTGGGGCACTGCAGCCTTCACTAGACTATGCTCCACTCTTACTCCTGTGCAACAGACCTTTCCTGCTGACCTTCTAAATTGTCTGGGGCTGGAAAATTGCTTCTTTGTATCTTTCTGTAGGTTCTGCCACTCTAGTATTTGTTTTGAGGCATTATTTAAAGTAGTTTGGTGGGGTTTGGGGGAGAGCTTAGGTGAGTCCCTGCCTATTCTCTGCCATCTTCTATCTGCAACTTTTAATTTTAGAGAATTGGCCTGAGGTCTGAAAGGTTAAGTAAGATGCCCACAATCAATATGTGTCAGAAGCAGTACTTGAAATCAAGTCTGACCTGGCCTTTGAAACTCATTTTCTGTTCATTATGCCGTGGTGCCTTTCATTATAAGAACAACAGAAATTTTTAAAAGGTGAGATAAAGATAAAATAAAATTTGATCTTATAGTAAATCTGGGAAACCACTGGAGTTTATTGAGTAGAAGTGACATGGTCAGTCCTGTACTTTCGGAAAATCACTTTGTATATGTAGTGGGAGGATTAGAATGAAAAGAGACATGAGACGGGGAAACCAACCAGGAAGTTACTGCAATAGTCTCCAGGTGAGAGGTAATGAGGGGATGATTCATTATGTATTAAAGTTAAGTGTGCTAGTGTGAATAAAGAGAAGGGGGATAGGTGTGAGAGATGCTGTGGAGGTAGAATGGCAAGATTTGGCAACTGACTTGATATGTAGAGTGAGATATAGAGAAAAGAATTGAAGGTGACACCAAGATAATGAACCTGGATGACTAGGAGGATGACAGTGCCCTTGAAAATAACAGGGAACTTTGGAAGAGGGTGGATTTGGGAGGAGAGATAGTTTAATGAGAGCTGAAGTGCTGGTTAAAACCCATTCGTTATAGCTCATCTTGTAACACTCACTCTGTCCCATCCAAAATAAAAATAGGAAAAGCTTCTGATCTGTCACTACCACAGAATATAGAGCCCACTCTTCAAGGGAGAGTGGCTGAAGGCTCAAGTGACCTTGAGGGCAGGGAGTGGATATTATGTAGAGAGGACTTCTGATGGCATCTGTGCAGCTACTGCTGTGAGTGTCCCAGTATCAGTTCAATTATAATTGCCTTGAGAGGCCCATACTGGGCTTACCAGGGAGGAGGTTAAGAAATTGCATAGATGGAGGGGAGAGATAAAGTAGTGGATATGCTGAATGATAAGGGTAGGTGTGATTGTACAAAAAACAAGCCCTAGGAATGGCTATTACAGAGGAGATCGAATATCAATTGTCTTTCTACTCTCTTATTAAAAATCACATACTCTGGAGTTAAGCCATGGCCCCTTTGGAATCAGACCACCAGAATCAATTATAAAAAGTGTTTCTAAGATAAATGCTATGTTATCCTATCATGGATCTATTATGGTCCAGTATGAACCTCTGATATTTAATATGAATATGACAGAGTGGACAGAGTGCCAGCTTTCAGATCAGGAAGACCTAATTTCAAGCCCAGTGCCTCTGGCACTTCACTAAAATTATAAGCTATAGAAGACTTCAATCTATGAATAAAGAGAGTTTTCACACTAGGAGCTCCCCGCTCCAAAGAAATTTTCACACAAAGAGTTCCCTATCCCAAAGAAATACACTTATATTTTAATGTTAGGAAAACTCTTTTTTTCAATAATTATTCTTTAATAGTCTCTGGTTAGCAATTATAATTTGTTCTTTTTCTAGATTTTGATGAATGTTTTGCACATCCTGGTGTCTGTGGGCCTGGGACCTACTATAACACCTTGGGAAATTACACCTGCATTTGTCCTCCTGAATATATGCAAATCAATGGCGGACATAACTGTTTGGGTATGTAAAGTTCTATATAATATGTTATTATTGTGATTTTTAAGATTTCATTCATTTCTATAAACTATTCAAAAATCTGACAAATCTGTTTGACTGATGACAAATTTAGGTCAGTCACACTTCTTGTATGTATAAAGTTTGAAAGCTCTTGTCACAATATCATATTTTCTAAACCTGCCTACAGAATTGCTGAGATTTAAAAAAAAATGTTTATTTTCATACACAAAAATATGTATTAAAAGATAATATCAGCAAACGAGGTAACAAGATTGCTCTCAAATCACATTTATGTTCTATTTATAAGATATGAGCTTTACCTTAAAATGAAACACCTAAAATTTTTAGAAATGAAAGAGACCTTAGTGGTCATCTAGTCAAACCCCTTCACTTTACAAGAGATAATGCCTGAGAAGTTAAGCGTATTATCCCAGGGCATGCAGATAACAGATGGCTGAAGTAGGATTTTATATTTAACTTCTGATCTGGAAATGATTAGCTTGACAAAAATTCAGAAACAAATAATTATAGCATACTATTTGATAAATTAAAGGATCCTTATTACTGGGTTATAGACTCACTATATACCAGAAACTTCCAAGAAAACTAGAAAGCAATGTAGTAGAAATTAAGTTTAGACTAACGTTTCATACCATATGCCACAATAGGCATCCATTGGACAGAATATCTAGATATAAAATGTCATAAACAAATTAGAGGAATTGTAAAGGACATACTATTCATAACTATAGACAGGAAAAGAGTTGTTGACTAAAAAGTGGACAGATGATTACAGGACATTACATAAACAATTTTGACTATATAAATATTGCAAAGGTTTTGCAGAAACAGAATTATCACAATTAAAATAAGAAAAATAGGTAAATGGGGGAAAATCACCAGCAAACTTTTTTTAAACTGTGATATCCACAATATATAGAGAGATTTTATTTAAAAGCCCTCTTACGATAGATAAATGGTCAATCAGACACTTCTCAGAAAAAAGAAAAGCAAGCTAGCAATCATATGAAAAAATATTCCAAATCACTAACAGTAAGCAAAGTACACATTTAAGCAACCTTGAGGTTCTACCTTACACTCATAAGATTAGCAAAGGTGATAAAAAATGGAAAACAGATTTTTAGAAGGGATGGGGAAGGGCAGACACAGTTAGTGGAATTATAAATTGGTCTAACCATACTATATATAATCCAATTTGGAATTCTTTTCAAAGTTACTAATCCATGCTTACCCTTCAATACCACTATTAGGCATATGACCCCAAAGAAATGAAACAAATAGGGAAAGGACCCATACATATAAAAATATTTACGGCAGCACTTTTTTTGGTGGTATGTGGGAAAAAAAAACCTGGAATTAAAGGAAGATGCCCATATCTGGGGGAATGACTGAAGAAATCACAGTATATGAATGTAGTAGGATATTATTGTATAAGAAAAATGTTGGAAAAGATGTATTCAGAGAAACTTGGGTAGACTTGTATGAACCATTGCAGAGTGAAGTGAACAAACTCAGGAGAACAAATTACATAGCAATTGCATTGTGCAAAGGAAAAGATTTGGAAAGAATTAAGAACTGATTAATACCATGAACAACCACAACTCTAAAAGACCAATGATGAATGGCAAAGAGGTGCTGAACTAGCAGTGCATAATGTGACATTTTCAGACCTGATCAGTGTGTGAATTTGTTTTGCTTGGTTATTTTCCTTTGTTACAAAGGGGGGCTTTTATTTTTTTTTAAGTAAGTAACATTATGTTGTTGAGGGAGAATAGTGATATAGTGATGCCAAAAACAGAAAGAAAGAAAAGAGCTCCAATAAACATTTTTTAAAGTTCACAGAAGATAGCTGAAAGAAGTTCAGAAAGAGACAGACTAGGAGGACAGTTCATAACTGTTGAATGTAAGGAAACAATCTGTACAAAATATTAATTTCATATACAAACTTTTTTCTTTGTTCCTTGTATATGGAAATGATCATGTTTTTTCAAATTTATATTATTAAAATTTTAAAAAATTTTCTTAGCACACTCAAAAAAGCTTACCAAAGGTTAGGTCTACAGTTGTTTGAGCTTCATCAATGGACAGCTTAATTATTTGTCACCTTAAAACTGTTTTTTTTTTCTGTTTATAGATGTGAGAAAAAGCTTTTGCTATCAGAACAAAACCACCTGTGAAAATGAGCTGCGCTTTAATGTGACCAAGAGGATGTGCTGCTGCACATATAATTTTGGCAACACTTGGAATAAGCCTTGTGAACCATGCCCAACTTCAGGAGCAGGTGAGAATTCATTTTTATATGTCTGTTAAAGGTCAATCTAGAAACCTAAATTCCATTATAACAACTGTGCACTAAACCCAGTGCAATTTAAGATCTGAGAGGCAGTGTGATATAGCACTGAAGTTGGAGTCAAGAGAAAGACACCTATAAAAATGAGTTTCTTCATCTGTGTAATGTAAATATTTATCCTTGTAGTACCTACCTTACAGATTTGTTGGGAGTAAAGCACTTTTGCAGACCTTAAAGTGATATACAAATGTGAGTTGTTATCATTATTGTTTAAATACTTGTGCACATAAAATCAGGACAGTCTGGTGATTAGAGGAAATATACTTTGGGATTTCAAACATTTAAAATAAATGGGCCATTTTGTTCTATGACGGGAAAGCCAACAGTAATTTTATATAATTCTGTAGTGTATGTCTAATAAAACTCTACAGCTGAAATCTTTTTCTGTTTTATAATAAGCATTATTCTATTACATGTGTTTTTTTTTGTATTTTCAAGTCTTCTAGCCTGTAGAAATTATATTTGTTCAACAAAATTTATATGAACAACTTATATTCCCAAATGAACCTCTTTCTTCCTTCTTACCTATATTCCTGCAGCTTCTAAAGACAGGATTAAGATGGGATAAGTATCTTCTGTACTATACACATTATAATGGTTGACAAAATAGATTTCCTAATGTAAACTAGAAACAGTTTATAGCAATAAATATTCAATTTGCCCTTTGTTAGAAAAACACTTCCCAACATGTTGACTTGAAGATTTGGGGACCCTAAAATCCATTTCTTCTCAGTATATTTATTCTTTTTCGCAAAGACATTACTATTTCTTCTAAGAATGATAGTTGATAACTATTATTAGAGCAACTAGAAGTTTACTCTGGAAACAAGTATGAACTAATACATGTTAAAAAGGAAAGCAATATTAAACTCCTTAACCTCCTGACCGTCAAGTATGTAAGTCATGAAGTTTAATAAACTAATTAAATGTTGACTGATATGGTAATTACTTAATAATATCTACATATCTATATATATGCAGGCAAAGATAAGGCTCTTGAACTAATAAATTTAAATGTATTTATTAAGCATGTTTCAACCTCTGTGTTATGCTGAAGATACAAATAGAAAAATTGGCACAATCTCTGCTCTAAGGGAAATCACACTCTAATTAAGAGAGACAATACATAAAAGAAAATTCAGTTATTGGGCATGTGGGAAGGGCTGGAAGTCCTAAGGGTACAACATGAGGCTGACAATAAGACTCGGGTCTTTAGGTGACCTATTGAAATGTACATTACAAAAAATTCTTTTTTCCATAATGGAAATATAATTTCTCTATAGAAATGTAAAATAATAAAACAATGTAATAATTTATAATATTATTTATAATAAAAATAAAATAATGTAATTTCTCTGAAAAGTTGTAAACTGACTTGAAGAAAACACTGCCAGAGCAGCTAAAAAGAACACTGGAGTTGAATTCAGAGGACGTTGGTTGAAAAAGCAGTACACTGCCTGTATGACCTTTATTAAATCATCTAACTTCTCTGGGCTTGATTTTCCTTATTGTAAAATAGGGGAGTTCCTGTATATTCTAAATCTAAAATATTTGCTCATAGGTGTTCATTTAACTTATTCAGGAGACTTTCTCTTTTTTGGTATCTTTATGTTATCCATTTTTTTTTTCTAAGACCAATGCAGGTTGATTTTATCTTGATTAAAAGGACTGGACTGACGATCTAATTGATATAATAATAGCTAACATTTACCAAACACTGCTCAGCTTAGCTTTACAATTATCTCATTTGATCCTCACAACACTCCTCAAAGGTGGGTGCCATAATTTCCATTTTATAGATGAGGAAACTAAAGAAAACAGAGGTTAAGTGACTTGCCCAAGGAGACACAGCTAGTAAGTGTCTAAGGCTGTATTTGAACTTAAGTTTTCCTGACTCCGGGGTATAGAGAACTCTTACATGAGAAAAGTCCTTCTTGTAATGTAGGAAGCATCCAAATGACTTACCCAGGGTCTTGCAAGCAGGGTATGTCAAAAACAAGACTCCATCTATCAACTTCTTCTTTCACTTCACTTCTTCCTGGCTCAAAGGTTAACTCTTATTTATTATCACATGCTGCCTGTATTTGAATGAAAAAAAAAAAAAGAGCATTGAGGTTGTATTAAAAAAGGAGGGAAATGTCTCTATTTAGAAGAAAAGAATACTGTGTAAAAATGGCAACTATGAAGTAAGTTTTGTCAAAGTTATATCAATCTTTCAGATAGGCACTTTTGTTGAGATGAATGAAAAATGTTAAGTCAAATCAGTATCTGATATCTTATTTTGTACTGACTGAAAACAAACTAGTTTCAGAACATGGAAAGATAAGGAAGCTTGAGAACCTTTTTAAACCTGAAAAGGTAGTATATTTTCTCTGTCTACAAGCACAGTTAAAAAGCTAAATTCCCAGGAAAACAATATTATCATAGTCTGTGCCTTTATTAGTAATATGTAATTGAAAGATTTCTAGTTGAAATGAATATATATTATGACTGTAAACAGTAATAATTGTTGACATTAATCATTTTAGAAATAATGTGAAGTTGTTTATATTGGTTAGTATTTTTTTTAACCAGAGCATTTGCTTTATTTTGATTTTAAAGTTGAATTTAAAGCCATATGTGGAAACATTCCTGGATTTACCTTAGACATTCATACAGGCAAAGCTGTAGGTAAGTTTTTTTGATATACTTATTTACACTTAATATATACATATATAGAGAATATTAAAAATCACTAGAGTGTTTTAAAATAGCAAAATACTACAAGAAATCATGATTCTTATTTTCATTTCTTGATCCTTTGCCAAGCCTCTTCAGATGCTGAGGATTTTGGAACCAGGTTTTCTACTAACAGAAAAGGATTGTCATTTCTTTAAAGAACTACACATTTGTATATTTCTGAACAACTAAAACAATACTTAAATAGGACAAATTTTAAAAATACATTTATACCATATCATATACAGGAATCAATGAGTCTAAAAATTTTATGAATGCTGGGCAAATCTTACACTTATTGATTTCCTGTGTATCAGCATTCAGTGTCTCACATCCAGAAAAAAATACTAATATCAGATTAATGCATATGCTACAGAAAAATGTTGACATTTTAAAATTTCTCGATTTATATTGTTGAATTTTTAAATAGCTCTAAGAAGGAAAAGCCACATTGTGGTTGTTAAATACTAAATCCAAAGTGGCTCTTGAAAGGGGAACAAAATTTACAAGGCTGTTTGCTCTCACCTCTACTTCCACCTAAGCCAGATACAGCTATCTGGAAAATGAATGGTCTTAGATCATAGTCTTAACAAAATAATATGGGGAATGCCAAAGTTTTTGTTGGATTTTTCAGTATCATTTTCTACTAAATCCAATTTAACTTCTAGAAGACATTGGAATTATTTCTTTCTGGATGGATTTTTTCTTAACTTGTAGCTTTTTCTTCCTCAAAGAGACAGTAATACTGATCGTTTTTCAAAAAAAAAATGACAAAAGTTCAGATAGTTTCTTTTATGTGTAGCTAAATGAGAATATATTGTTTCTAATGGTAGTTCACTGGGTGGGCAATAAAATGTTATGGCTTAGCCTATTTTAATACATTTTCTCCTTAGTTGCTGGAGGAAAGAATCTAGATCATGATTTATATAAATTTTATATACCACAAAAGTATTTATGAACTCAAGTGACACAGAAACCACTGTTTCCAATCATATATACACAGTAGTATAAATTGCTACAAAGAAAGTGAGTGAAGACCTCAGTATACTTGACTACATCTGTTCAATTTCAGATGTTGATGAATACAAGGAGATTCCAGATATTTGTGCAAATGGTGTTTGTATTAACCAGACTGGCAATTTTCACTGCGAATGTCCTACAGGATTCAATTACAATGATCTACTCTTGGTCTGTGAAGGTAATTCAAAATATAGATTTGTTTTCACAAAATCAAGCTTCTTATAATAACTTTTTTGGAAGGGATACAGATAATATGATTTCATTAGTATTAGGAACTCTTTATTTTTTAAATTTTATTTTATTTTCAATTTCAAAGTCTCTCCCTCTCTCTAACCCCTCACCTGCTTTTTGAGATAGGAAGAAATATGATAATATATGTATATATGTATATACATACATATAGTTATATAAAACATCTCCTCATTAGCCATGTTCCCAAAAAAAAGGGAAGAAAAATGAAGAAAGGAAACAAATGTGCTTTAATCTGCATTCTGAGTTTATCAGTTCTCTGTCTGGAAGTGCATTACATTTTTCATCATGAGTACTTTGGAGATGTTATCATTGTGTACATTGTTCTCCTGGTTCCGCTCTCTTCACTTTGCATCAATTCATATAAGTCTTTCCAGGTATTTCTGAAACTCTCCCTTTTATCATTTTTTTTAGGCAATTGGGGTTAAGTGACTTGCCCAGGGTCACACAGCTAGTAAGTGTCAAATGTTTGGTCTGGGGTCGGATTTGAACTCAGATTCTCCTGACTTCAGGGCTAGTGCTCTATCCACTGCACCACCTAGCTGCCCCTCCTTTTATCATTTCTTACAGCGTAATAGTAACACATAATTTGTTCAGCCATTCCCCAATTGATACACATCCCTTTAGTTTACAATTCTTTGTCACCACAAATAGTTGATATATATGTTTGTGTGTGTATGTGTGTATGTATATATATATATGTATGTATATATGTATGTATGTAGGTATGTATGAAATTTGTACCTATGAATCCTTTTCTTTTTTCTTTCACCTCCTTGGAGAATAGACCTAGTAGCAATATTGTTGAGTCAAAACATAGTTTTATAGCTTTTGGGGCATAGTTCCAAATTGTTCTTCAGAATGGTTAGACCAATTCACAACTGCACCAACAGTGCATTGTTGTCTGTATTTTCCCATATCCCTTCAATACTTGTCATTTCCTTTTCTGTCATTTTAGTCAATCTATGTGTGTGGAGTGGTACCTCAAAGTTGTTTTAATTTTCATTTCTTTATTAGTGAGGACAGTTCAGTGGCATAGTGGATAGAGTACTGGTCCTGGAGTCAGGATGACCTGAGCTCAAATCTGGCAAGTCACTTAACCCTGTTTGCCTCAGTTTCCTCGTTTGTAAAATGAGCTGGAGGAAGGAAATGGCAAATCACTCCAGTATGTTTGCCAAGGGAACCCTAGATGGGGTCATGGAGAGTCAGAGATGACTGAAATAACTGAATAACAACAAAAATTATTAGTGATTGAGAATTCTTTCATGTGAGTATTGATTGCTTTAATTTCTTCCTCTGAAAAGTATCTGGTAATAAACTTTGACCATTTATTAATTGGAAGATAGCTCTTATTTTCATAATTTGGCTCAGTTCCCTATATATTTGTGCAAAACTTTTTTCTTAATTATATGTGCCTAACATTATCCATTTTACCTCCTGTGAACTTCTCTGTCTCTTGTTTGGTCATAAACTCTTCCTCTATCCATGAATATTACAAGTAATTTCTTCCATGCTTCCCTAATTTGCTTATATCATCCTTTATGTCTAAATCATGTACTCATTTTGTGATACTTTTGGTGTACAGTGTGAGATACTGGTCTATGCCTAGTTTCTGTCAAACTGCTTTCCAGTTTTCCCAGAAATTTTTTTCTCAGAGTGAGCTCTTATTTCAAAAGCTTGGATCTTTGTGTTTACCAAACACTAGATTAATATGATAGTTTACCACTATACATTGTGTATCTAATCTATTCCACTGATCCACCACTTTTATTTCTCACATAGTACCAGATTCGTTTAATGATTGCTATTTTGCAATGTGGTTTGAATTGTGGTACTGGTAGGCTACCTTCTTTCACATTTTTTTCATGGCTCTCTTGATGTTTTTGGCTATTTGTTCTACCAGGTGAATGTTGTGATGTTTTCTAGCTCTAAAATTAATTCTTTGGTAATTTAGTTTATAAGAAACTGAATATGTAAATTAATTTAGATGGAATTGTCAGTTTTACTGTATTGGATCAGTCTTCCCGTGGGCAATTAAAATTTCTCCAGTTGTTTAGATCTGTCTTTATTTTATGGTGGCTAAGAATTGGAAATTGCAAGGATGCCCATTAGTTGGGAAATGGCTAAACAAGTTATGGTATATGATTGCAATGGAACATTATTGTGCTATAAGAAATGACAAGCAGAATGATTCTGGAAAAACTTGGAAAGGCTTATATGAATGGATACAAAGTGAAGTGAACAGAACCAAGAGAACATTATACACAGTAACAGCAATATTTTTGAATGAAGACCCATGAATGACTTAGCTATTCACAGTGATACAATGATCCAAGACAATCCCAAAGGACTAATCAGAAAGTATGCTATCTGCCTCCAGATAAAGAACAGATATTGTTTTAATACATATTTAAGCATACTAATTTTCACTTTCTTTCTGCTAGATAGTTTTTTAAATTTGTGATATTCTAATCATTTTTTTTTTCTTGAATAGAGCTGGCCTAAACTTGAGGAAACCTCAGAGATCCTCTCGAGAAAGAGGGCACTTGCTATGGCTCTGTCCCCCTTCCTTCAGCATAACTTCTTTCTGCAATAGCTCCCATAACTTCAGGGGGACATTTGTCCCAAAATAGGTGGTCCTTAGAATTTCCCAAGTGAAAATGCTTGAAAGCTACTATTTAAAAGTCTTATTTTCATATCATTATATATGAAAAATATATATGTGTGTATATGTATATATACATGTACCCATACCCATACCCATACCCATACACATATACATATACACGTAGGTATAGGACCCACACTTGTGGTTTGTTCAATATAGAAAACTCAATCAGTGCAGATTAGTACTTTTTCTGCAACTCAGTCATAGAAAGCTGCCTAGAGCATTAAGATGTCAAGTCATCAAGCATTTATTAAATATCTATTATGTGCCAGTCACTGTGCTAAATGCTGGTGAAAAAAAGAAAAGTAAAAAGCAGTCTTTGCCTCCAAGGATCCCACATTCTAATAGTGGGAGACATTATTTATATATACTAGGACACATCGGACATAAACTCAGAAGGCACTAACTTAAAAAAAGACTGGGAAAAGCTTCTTGCAGGAGGTAAGATTTTAGCTGAGACTTGAAGGAAACTAGGGAGGCCAGAAGGCAGAGAGTAGGAGGGAGAGAATTACAAGCATAGAAAATAGCCAGTGAAATGCATGGAATTGAGAGATGAAATGTCTTGTGTAAGGAAAAACAACAAAACCAGGGTCACACTGGATTGTAGAGAACATGGAAGGGAGTAAGATAAAAGACTGGATAGATAGGAAGGGCCAGGTTATAAGCAGTTTTAAAACCAAATAGGATTTTATATTTTATCTACAAATCAACAGGCAGCCATTCAATATGGAAGGGCCATGTTTAAGATGAGCTTTAGGAAGATCACTTTCATAGCTGAATAGATGATGGGCACCGAATGAAGAAGAAACTTAAGTCGGAGTTCAACCAGAAGACTGGCACTAGTCCAGATATAAGATAATGAGGGCTTGCACTAGAGTGATGGTAAGGTCAGAGGAGAGAAAGGGGCTAAGGAAAGTTGACAGGATTTGGCAACAGATTGGGTGTGGAGGGTAGAGAGAGCAAGGAGTTGAGAATCATACGTAGGTTGCTAGCCTAAATGGCTGGGAGCATAGCAGTACCCTTACCAATAACAGGTGAGTTAGGAAGAGGGGAGTATTTTGGTGGGGAGGGAGAGAATTGTAAGTTCAGTTTGGGGCATGCTGAGTTTTCTACAAGAAGTTCAGTTGAAGGTGTCTCAAAATGAAGGTGTAAATGTGAGATTGTGGATCAGGAGAGAGATGAGGTCTGGATAAATAGATGTGAGAATCTGTATGGAGATGATAATTGAATCCATGGGAGCTGATGAGATCATGCATGTAAAATAGGATATAAGGAGAAGAGACATGACAGAGCTTTGACCTGGTTGAAGATCCAGCAAAAGAGACCAGTCAGGTAAGGAATGGTCAGACAGGTTGGAGAAATACTGGAAGACAGCAGTTTCACAAAAAACAAGAGAAAATAAATTGTCTAGGAAAGGAAGATAATCAGCTATGTCAAAGGCTACAGAGACATCAAGAGAAATAGTTAAGTGATCTGTCCAAAAACAGTGACAGTATGTGAGAGGCAGCATTGGAATCCAGTTCTTCCTGGCTCAACACTAGTTATTTAATATTCTCTTTCTCTCTCTTTCCATGCATTTTATACACATATATTATAAAAATTTTTATATATAAATACATATATACACATATTCTTAGTGACTTCACAAGTTTCTTACCTTGTGATATAAATTATTTCGCCTATTCTACTTTACTGAATGTTTTCCAAGATATAGCAGTAATAGTACTAAATTATCTTATTTATTCATTTATCACTTATATGTGTCATATGTTCAGGGAGAATTATGTAATTAACTCTAAAATACCTGTGCATGGAATAACTAGTGTGTGCATTAGTCACCATAAAATTTTAAATCCTACACTGGTTTTTCCTATTCACCCAAAATATACCTGAGGCTGAATAGTTGCTGAGCAATGCCTTTTATATGTAAAATACTTTTATAAATATGTTTTCATGTCTAAAATCTCATTTAAATGGGAATGCTTTGGAAATGAGGGTGTTCTCAAAAATTTAGCCCTTTGGTTAATTTGAACCCTTTTTGTTTCAGTTCTTATAACTGAGGAACTTTTCTAAAATGTCCATTAATAACTAGGTAATTTGGTATGATTGAGAAGAAGACCTTCTGGTTAAATTCTTTGGCTAACAGTTACATAGTGGCATAACTGAGACTAGAACTCTCATCTTCTCACTCCTAATCTAGTAATCTGTCCACTACACCAGGAATTGTACTGTGTAAATCACTATACCATGCGATAATATAT